CTCTGTTACTAAGTTCAGTGCATTTCTAGAAACTTCTAGGTTTGTAAGATTATAAGTAAGCTATTTTTCTGTACGTAAATAAATCTTGTAACAAAGCTTTCATTGCTTTTACCCACTATTCGATGCTCAGGTCTAGAAGTAATTGAAGAATTTAGGATTTGGCCTAAAAGTCAGTAGTATCAAACTTTGGATTAACCTATATATATGTATCAGTTTCTGTGATATCCATAAATAAGGTCGACTATCGGTAAAGATGAACAGCAAGGGGAAATTAAAAACTTAAGGTTATTAAATATGTTTAATTTGCACTTTGTCTCTTTACCTCTACGATCAAATTGAAAAAAATGTAGTTTTTTGGACGTCCTATGAACAGCGTACTTTCAATAAGTACGGTGATTTTTCTAACTTGTCTACAAATCACTACTTTTATTAACTTAATTATGTTATATCACATTTCTATTTCAAACAGTCAAACAAGAATCTAGATAGCCTGTTTAATAACTACTATGAAGTTCTATAATAGGGAAGTTTAAACAGTGTATCTCATCTTTTTAATTGTTGCCCCAAATGCCCTGGTACGGCCGAGAGTGGGGTGGGCCCGCCATCCCTCTCGAAATGCTCTCACATGGCCACACGTATATAGTTTCTGCCAGGGAAGTCCTACTCACTGTCTTCTCGTGGCGGGGGTGTTGTTTACGAAATTCAGAGGACGAAAAGCGAATGTCCGGCGCTTTAACCGGATTCCGAACCAATGGTGCACGTGGGATCCAGTATCCTGCGGGAAAAAATGGCGTATGAACCAATTGTTGGTCACCGGCTTCCATGGGACTGCATCTCATCACGATGCTCCACTGCCTTGTGGATCAGACCTTTAGGTCGAAGGCTCGGGGTGTGGCCCCCTAAGAAAAACACCTGCTTCAGTTTGGGCACCCAGGCATTATCACAGCCCACACACACAAATCGAATGATTTATGTGGCGCATATCTACTTGTTGACTTCTTGTACCGATGTTTATGTGTTTAAATAATAATAATAATAATTTCTTATTAATATACACTGGTTTTTTTTACTTGCGCTTTTGCTCTATTGTCCACTAATATAAATCAAATCAATTTTGAATCAGTGACTGTTTGTAAACATTGAAATTCTATGTTCATAGTTCACACTATCAATTAAACTTACTTAGCTAAACAGCCATAGTTTAAACTAAGTTATAGAGATGTTCGTGATGTGTAAACAATGAAAATTTAATCACCAACATAAATCTCCTACATTGTATTAAAATTTTATAGATTAAGTTTAATTGTAAAACATTATAGAAATTAGATTATTCAGAAGTTAATCCGTAAATATGATGTAATCTAAACAGAATTCATGTGACATTATAATAATGAAGATGGTAATTCATGTTTAGGTGATTCATTAGAAGTAATGCAATCTAGTCAAAATTGAAAGTAGAACAATACACGTTTCATATAGATTGATTGTAGCTAGTTGTAAGATCAAGGGAATGTATATTTCGTCTTTAGTTGGTTATACCTAAATCCTAACTTTTGGATGTTCACATTAAGACTCAAACCCAATACTTTTCATTTTATGTTCCCCCCCCCACCAAGTTGTTCACTGACTTAGTGAGTCTCCAGATAACCGATGAAGTATTTCCATGCTTTTTCAACAATAATGTATCAAGTTAGTGTTAAAAGTATACTATCCGGACGAATTAATCCGATGTAAGATGAGACCATTCGGAATTTAGCTCGAAAATTATAACGCAATGACAGATAGCTTGCATTATTTTTATAACTCAGTAAACGATATGATACATAGTTGATAACATGTATGAATATATAAGAAAGCATAAGAATAGGGACTACTATTTCTGGATCTATAAGGATAACTTTAATGGTTCCTGATATTTGAAATCAAAGAAATCATCATAAAAGTATTCATCCTTTTGGATCTTCAAAGTATTCGTCAACTTTGTTCTTGGTTATTACATATCAATCGGATTCTTAATAACTAAAAATAAGCTTTATATGTGATGGTCTCTCAAAATCATCAGTAGATTATAGTTTTACAGAATTGGTTGAAATAAAATTGATAACTGTATGTATGTTTGCTGAAATTTGTCACTTGTCAACAATGTGTATCTGTGATGTTTAGCTATGCTCATTGGTAGATCCGAATTCGCATCAGTTAACCTGAATATCTGGAATGTTGAGACTAAACTGTTGGGCTCGCTTCTAACTTTTTTTATATGATTGAGATATTTACAATCAAATGATCAGTGAATAGTAAAAAATCTTTTATTGATCAATAGAATTCGATCAGCGCTAAAAAAAACTAGACAAATATGACAATGGTCACCAGATTTGTCAGCAAATTGTACTTCTGAAAACATCGCTAATCCGTTTTTTTCACCTCAGGCATTTTTACATAAATTAATTCTTAAAGGAACAATAAAATCTTAACGGATTATTTTTCAACAAACTTTGAAAACAATTTCGTACACGTCACGATTGGAACGACAAACTTTTGTATATATATATATATATATGCAATCTTTCTTTTATATATTACTACCATTGAAGTAACTACTTCGATTAATTCGGTGATTATCTTGCTGTGCTAATGACTTGTGGCAACTTGGACAGATGCATATATGTGTCTGGTTCTACGTTGTAGGACTGACTGACTGAGAATAGATGAATGGTTTTCAGCGATAGGGTCTAAAATCTATGCTTCACGCTATTTGATATTCATCAACTGAGTACGTACCTGCCACATCCCAGTGTTGACATTCAGATTTTTATTCATATCCAGTATCTTTTATACATCATAGTGTTTACTTTTTTTTATTTCTACCAGTACAACGTAACCCAAGAAGTTCATTGATTCATATGACTTAAACTTACAATTATATTTCCAGTCAAATTATTGTTAGCTATTGAATGTAGACAGACATAACCTCCTCATACATCATCGCATATAATAGACTACTTTATTTTATGTACTACTACTACTACTACAAGTCTATTTCCTATTCGATATTGCATCCAATAAAATTTATTCTTATCATTACTATTATTATTATTATTATGCGGTTCTTGATTAAATTACCTTGTCTACATTGCCAAAGATTTTGTGTCAACATTAATATACTATTGATTTGGTCGAAACATCTAAAATGTTTTTTTTCTCCTAAATATTCATTAAAACGTCATATTTCAACAATCCTTCAATGCCTATTCAAATTATTTGTATTTGTCATTTTATGTCTAGTATTAGTCTCTATACATTCTATAAACATATTATTAGGTAGATAGTGTATTAAGATAGACTTGTACTTCTATATTGTTTGATTTACAGGTACATACTCTCTTGGTTACTAAAAACATAAAATCCAAAAAACATGTAATTGTTTTACTGCACAAACTCATCTAAATTTGTTTTTATCACTACTTTTTTTTCCTGCCGTATATCATGTGAATAAACATGATATATGAATACGAGTTATTGCCATCACAATGATCATTGTCTGAAAATGATCATAATAGTAATGATAATTATAATTATGTAAGCTTATTTAATTGAATAATATAATATCATATGGTCAAATGAATAAATTATAATTAAATGTATAGAAAATGGAATTATGAGACTGGCAGGCGTGGGTTATCAGTAAGTTGTTATCAACGTATTGGCCTCCAAATGCTCTGTTATGGCTCAGGGTGGGAGGAGTTAGCTCTCCCTCTCGAAATGCTCTTACATGGTCACGTGTATACATCCATTGACAGGGAAGTTTTATTCACTGCCTTCTCGTGGCGGTGTTGTTTATGAAATTGAGAGTACAAAAAACGTATGTCTGACCCCTTAACCGGTTTGGTGGATATGGATGATCCGTCTAGTGGAGTTGGAAAACCCTAATTCCAAACCAATTATGCACATGGGCTCAAAGACCCTTAGGGAACAAATGGTATATGAACCTATTGTCGGTCACTAGTTGCCATGGGACTGTATCTCCTAATGTTTCTCCACAGCCTTATGTATTAGACCTCCAGATCAAAGTTTCCGGAAGTGACCTGGGAAAATCATTTGCCTCGATTTGAGCACCCGGACAGTATTCCAGCTCTCACACAAATCTAATGATAATGTGTGGAATATATATATATATATTTGGTGCCTCCTTGTACCAATGTTTGTGTTTAACTAAATAATTAACTTATGTTGTGGCAAAGATGTAGGTTGGCTCAAGTTTCCAATAGCACATCAAGATAAGATTACCAAAATGAGTTGTAAAATCATTAAGAATGTAAGGTGTTTGTGGAAATTGTTAAATTTTATATCTTGCACCACTTACTGATCATTGAAAACCTGAAAACACTGATCTTATTTTGACAATAGATGATGTTCTCATTAAGAATTTTCTCTACATGTGACATTTTACTGTAATATTAACAACAGTAGTAATTAATTTATAATCTATTATTAATATTTACTGATGCTTTTTTAAAGATATTTTCTGATACCAATGTCTTCATTCTGCCCATCACAATGTGATAAGATTGTGGTCTGTTATCGATTTCTTTTTACAGTCTTACGGTTATAATCCGAAGTTTTCAGTTTGAATAATGTGCATATTGGGTTACTATTAGATTATTTCTCAGCTCTAACCATTAAAAAACTTTTCAATGTAAGTAAGTAAATAAGTAACTTTATCCATTTCACATTTGAGTAATGAAGATAACAACTTCCTTGTGTCTATTGTCTAACTTCATTCTAAACTAATTACGTCATGTGGGTTATATTTTACACTTTTTAAATTCAAAACGGTTATAATGTTGGGTCATGATTTTCAACCATCTTTATACATGTGTAATCGAATTCCCATCGTTAATCAATATTGATCTCTTTCTCTTTTCCCTCTTTCTTAAATGACATTTCTTATTGTAATGTTCTCCCTATTTATCATCATCTATTTGTTTTCTTCTGAATTATAGGTGCTGTGATAGTTCCAAGTTCATTATTAGGCGTTCTGTCTGGTGCTTTACTAATGCGTCATTTTCGACCTACATTACATCGTACCTTATCTGGTTTATGTATTATGATTTCATTGACTGTTATAACGAGTATTAGTCTAATGTCAATTGGTTGTCAATCTAGTCGAGTAGCAGGTATAACAGCTACATATAACGGAGAAAAGTAAGTTAAAATTTGTTTCTTTTTGTGCCATGTATGTATCTGTATATCCATAAAATTCTCAATATACTATTGTTTCCATGAAAGTTCTGTCTTCTCTTCCGTTTCTATATCGTTAAATGTTACTTTTTTTCTATAAACATATCATTTAATAACTTGTTTCCGTTTAGTTTCAGTCCTTAATGCTAACTCTTCATTACTTGTTATGGTAAACCTACAGTATTACTGTCGAAGAATCGTGGGATTTTATTTCATCCTAATCAATCAGAAAATAGAAAAGTGTATCAGTTTCGACTGAAAATCGGTTCATGATTTCAACAAAATTAAACAGTCTACATAACCGCAAACTAAAAATCATTATGTTCTCATTAGTGACTACCTTCGAGAGGTAATTCTCAGGCTTCTAATGAGAAGCCGTGACCAGGGGAGTTCGGATGTGTGGCAGCTATCTACCGAAGACTATAGAAGATGGTTGCGCAATACTGTGGATTGATTGAAGTTATACACTAACATCGTTGGACCCCGGCTCAGTGGTCTAAAAGTTAAGCGTTCACACGCGAGACTAAAGGCCCTGGGTTCAAGTCACGTGTCCGGGACCGTGGATGAGCACTGCTGAGGAGTCCCACACTAGGACTAAACGGCAGCCCAGTGCTCTCAGGTTTTCAATAGTGGCCCAACATTGATCGGTTCATGACTTCAAAGAAATTCAACAATCTCCACAATCCCAAACTGAAAATCAGAGAATATATTATTTTTCGTGGTTAATTAACGTTTCTAGGTTTGTTACGTGTTCTTAAGCATTAGAGGTTAAGGTTACGATTAGAATTAAGGTAAGGATTTGGGGTTAGTATATTTATATGTTACTGTGTAATTATTACCCAAGTTTCACCCATAACCGCAGTTCCAACACTATTCTTATCTCAGCCTAAGTCGTAGCCTTTCAATATAACATCTTACTCTAATCTTTACTCTCATGTCATATTTCAATACACTTTTGGACTGTCATGTGTCTTACAAAAACCTAATTGTGTTTGATGATGTAATCTACAAAATTCGAAGACCTGGTGATGAATTTAGACAAGTATTTATCGGAATTCTAATGAGAGGCGTTGATCAGTGGAGTTCAAACATAGTTAGTGTTAAACGACTAGTACAATCTAGTGGCTGTTGATTACCATTAATTGGTTGTAGTTAGAACGGTATATCATTGGATCCTGACCTAGTGGTCCAAAGGTTTAGTACTGATGTTAGTTTATAACAAAACCCATCTCCCTGCGAGATGAACGCCCTCAGATTTGATCGCCAGTAAGGTTACGGATGTTCACTTCTACCTGAAAGTTCTTTTCTAGAACGGAACATTTGTCTAGTGCTTTATAGTTTCAATAGTTCTCCAACTAAAGTCGTTCAGTAATGAAACTTTAGAATTCAACAATTTCTGCCTAATACTAATGGGACTAGTAAGTTGTATATGCCCCATAAAATGTATCTATTCTGTCTTCTTTTACTAATAGTTGATGACAGCCTAGACTCTCTTGCTAAACCAGTTTTGCTCTATGCTAAACCCATTTTTCTACCTTTATATACATATCTATCTGTTTTGTTTTCTGCCGTATGTTTATCATTGTTCGTATCCTTCTATCGGTCGTATTTGTTTCTCGCTACTAGTACTAAAAAAATATATTAACTTGCTAACTTAATCGAGCTCAGTGGACAATCATTGGAATCTGTAAATTACCATTGAAATAAGGTTGAGATTATCTGCGACGCTCTCGGTGTCCAATGAGTACGATGTATCAAGCAATTTCGGGTGAGCTTTTCGTCCATCTAGTGGGTGGGTGCTTCATATTGGAGTGTAATCTTCATCACAGTTTTTAGTTCAATTCCTAACCTACACTATGTTTATGCCTTTCGTTCAGCGTATTAGACTGTGCTGGACGTAGTTATGTCAAACAGTTTCAGCTAATTCCGGAAGCTTGAAATGATTTTTCGATTAAAATTACACTCTAAAATTCAGCATTCACTTACTAAGTAAACAGAAAAGCACCCGAAAATGCTTGATATATCACACTTTTTGAGCACTGAAAACATTGACCATAACTATAATTGTTAAAAAAAATTCTAGTATTTCAACTCAATAACTGCTATATACTTCACAAATATTGTTATCATAACATCAGCTGCCTCAATATGTTAACTATAAAGTTTATTACCAGTACAGGGTTGTGGAGACTGTTGAATTTTCATTGAAATAATGAATCAATCAATGTTAGACCACCATTGAAAACCTGGAAGCACTGGACGGCCGTTTTGTTCCAGTATGGGATCCATCAGCAGTGCTCATCCACGGTCTCGCACGCAGGATTCGAACCTAGGATCTTCGGTCTCGTGCGCGAACACTTCTAGTTCATTATTGTTTACATAGTTACAAATGAGTTTTTTTAAGAATTATATTCAAATGTTTTTGAGTTGATAGAAATTGATTTCCGTTTTTTGACATAACAATCATTTCTCATTAATTCAATGAATTTAAAGGTTTGACTGTCATTTACACATACATTGTATGGGATAGTGAAATACTAGAATAATTCATTAGAAACAAAAATCTGCTGACCGATCACTATGAGACGACATGAATGACATGATATTTGTACGGGTGTGTGTGTTGTATGATACGTGATGTGTTGAATTTTTTAGGTCAGCTGAAATAAAACACTATGTATCATTGATTTATGTTTGTTGTCGGTCTATTCATATCAATGAATCCTTTGTAAAAATCTTTATTTATTCATAAACTGCAATCATTTATTATTGATTCCGTTGACATCATAATGTAACTTCTACCTTGGTGTGGTTGTGATCAACTTTACCATTCGAGCTGTATCTTTTGGTACACTCGTTCTTTTAGGTTATACCATTCTAAGTTGGTCAGTTGGAAACAAATGTAGTTAAAAGCAATAAACTTGAAAATCCGAATATACTATTCAGCAATCTGCTCTATGTTCATTTATTCTTATGAAATATAGCCTTTTCTACTCAAATCATCTTCATATTATCACTAATAATGTACCAATTCTATGATATTCACCTTAATTTCATTTTGCTATGCTGATGTAGTGTTGAATTGGACTAATATAAACTTGAGCCAAGTTCCGACGTTGTTTATGACTGATTGAATTCAGTTGATGACAGAGATTTGCAGAAAAAATTCAATCTTAATTAGTCAGAATTTGGCTCTATGAAGGTAGAATCTTTAATCGACACCCTAGAAATTTCATGCGTTTTCTCTGTATTTCATTTTGTTGGATTGTTAATAAAACTCTTGAATTCTTTTGTCTTCTCAATAGTTAGGGGTTTGGATGAAGAGTTTACAGGATCTAGTACAGATTTGGTTAATATTTATTCAGGTTGCACACAATTATTTATTTAAACCCATAAACATTGATACTAAAATAAGTCAAAACATATACTCGCCACACAATAAAAATGAGATTGTGAAAAGATAAAGGTAGGTGAGTAAAATAAAAAAGAGACAATAAAAAAAATAAGTGTATGGGAGCGAAATAATAATAATGGGAGAATCAGTTCAGTTAAGAAAGGATTCTTTCGGTTAAAAAGATCCTTTCATTTACATAACGAAAGTAAAACAAAGTTATAGCAGGATCTCCACTGGCTTCTATATTCTGAGTTATGTCTATTAACGTCTCAAACCCATCTGTTGCACTACCTTTTGGATTCCAACTAGGGAATAGTTAAGGACCTACAGATACCAGTCCTGTGTATAGTTCTTTCATACTAAGACACTATGCCATACGCTGATCACCTCTGTGCTTTTTCCAATCAGTCCAAACGTCACCAAATAATGCGCGATATGGAATGGTGGCATTGAACAACCCTGCCTAACCCCACTGCTTGAATGAAACAGTGGAGAGAGGTGATTGTATGCCTTCATTTTGCCTGAGGTGTTAGTATGTATGTATAGCTTTCAAAGTTTTAACATTTCTTCACACTGGTTTATAATTAGAATTAAGTAGTCTAAATAATAATCTTATTTTATGTCACAGTTACTCAACATTTATGTATTTTTCTTGGCAGAATTCTTCTGCTTCCAGAAGAAGAAAAAAAACATCATACATACATTGTGCTGTGTTGTTTTTAACTTTTTTGCAAAAATCTTTTTAGCACAAGAGTTCACTGAAGACTTTAATTTTCATAGTTTACATCATGAACTGATCCTAGCTAGATCATCATTGGTAACCATAATTCACTTTACAGCGTCATGAATCGATTAAAATTTGACATATGCGCACCATTAGATGTGCATGCAAGTGAGATTGGAGATCCTTGATTCTATTCCCTGTGTTGGTAATTCACTCAATAAACTGTAACCATTTCTTCTCTCTTTTTTTCTTGGTTTATAAGTATTAATTCTGCTCTGTAGATCTTAATTATCTAAGAAGAAGAAAAAAATTAATTTCTCCTTGTTTTTCATTCCCTTTTATACACTAAAATAAGAAGGAGGTCAATTTGACATGTTGAAAATTGGATATTATGTCCTATAGAGATTAACGCTTGTTTTTATTTAATGAAGTTTAATCAGATGGAATGGATTCAACCGCATATATATACATATATATATATATATATACAAAAATGATATTTCTCTATGTAACAGCTCTATATCACATTGACTGACCTTAAAATGACATTTCTTCTAATAGATATAGCTTCTAATAGCTTGTTCAAAATGATATATTTCATTTTAATTTACTAACCCTTTTGTTTTAACGGAAGATTAAATTATATCCTACTGTTTTATTAGTTTAAAGCCTAATCTTTTCTCTGAATAGTTAATTTGTATATTTGATTGAAGTGTTAATGGATAGGTTTTCTTTTGGTTATTATTTTGTAACGGTTAGTTATTAGTGTTGTGGTGTGGGCTAATTATATCCACACAAGTAGTATGTTACGTAGTCAGGTATAGAAGGTCGATGTGGAAAGGACGGGATCGGAACGCAATTGGTATGAAAACGCATGAACAATCAAATCTCATACAATAGATTGAACAGTCAAGTTTGATATGATGGATTGATATTTTGTAAATTAACGATTTACTATATGGATCTCGGATTTTATTGAGATGCTCTGTAATTTTGTGCTCAAACACATTCGATTGTCCCCACTGGTGTTCTTGTTCACTACAGTGTGACCTATTCAACTTGTGATCAGTCGCTGATTCGAGTCCCATTTCATCTAGTTTAGCAATCAGCTATTTCCACTGGCCGTCATACACAATGTGGCTCATAGCCAACAGTATAAATTTACACATGTTGTTATTATTATTGTTACAACGATAATATATCTCTATTCAATACTGGGATTTATACACACACACATTTATGCTCCCTTTGAGCATGATTTTCATTGTGGACTGAGATGGTTGGGCCACGTGTTACGTATGCCCGAACACCGATTACCACGACGTGCAATGCTAACCGGTGCTGGAGATGGTTGGAAGAAAGTTAGGGGCGGCCAAACCAAAACGTGGCATCATCAGTGCTTGAAGTCACTAACTTCTAGTCTGAGCCACGTTGGTAGATGCAGACTACTTGTTTGGGGTCCGCGTCACTATAGTAACCAATGGTTGGAGACTCTTGGTGACATGGCTCAGAATCGATCACAATGGCGTCGGTGTATACACTCTCTATCTTCCCTCAAACTGTGAGATTAAAATTGCTTCATATCTTTCTTTCTATGAACTAATTCTTTCTTCCTGTACTATATCCTTATTGCAGTCTTTCTTTTATATATTACCACCTGTCGATTAACTACTTTTATGAATTCGGTGTCCATCTATCTTGTTGTGTTAATGAGGTATGGCAACTTGGACCGATGCATGTATGTGCCTGGTCCTACGTTGTAGCTGACTGACTGAATACAACAATGTCCATAATTCGATTCATCACCTAAACCGGACAACAATTATCTAATTAAAGTAAGTTCGTGGTGTAAACTATTTATTGAATAATTTTTACATATATCTAAAGTGTATAATATTATTTTATAATTTTATTCTTGTTATTGTTTAGTTGGCCTTGGAAAAATGGTCCAGGTTTTTTAATACCATCAAATTTAACAGCACCATGTAATCAATTTTGTTATTCATCTAATAATCGAATAAAAAAGTTTGATAATCGTCATTATACACATTACGTTGAATCACAATGTTCAGTAAATCATTATAATCCTGTGTGTTGGACCGCTACCTCTTCTTCTTCTTCTACTACTACTAATAGTGATAGTAGTATCAAAAAGAAGACAAATAATCAAATAGCTTGTACTAGTAGTGATATTATTAATGGTGATAATAATCTTGGTAGTCCAAATGACAATATTGATGACTGTGATAGGAAATCATTGACATTTTTCAATCCTTGTTTTGCTGGATGCAGAACACGTGTTTTAGAAGCTGGAGTTGTAAAGGTAGGTGTTGTGTTTTTTATGTATTCTTTCTATGTATTGGTCTTCCGTATTGTATAATTTTTATGGATCTAAATGGATCATTTCTCCGTATGTTAAATAATTTATATTTCACAATCGTTTTGTTTTGGTTCTTGATATTCCACAGTCTTGATGTCAGTAGGTAGAAATTGAAGTAATTTATACTTTATTTATGTAATGATTGAATGATTAAATGAAGTCGGTTCCAATTTGAAAATAAATTATATCTTCCATTTGTTGACATTAAAAACTTCAATTGATTAGTCTCTTTGAAATCTATGCATCCTGATGGCAAACAGACTCGATATTGCCATTAAGTAAAAAGTAATTTTAGACAGTAGTTCTCATTACAATTCAGAAACAATATACAAAACTTTACAAATTAGATTTCTATTCGTTGGACAGGTTAGTGGCTATTTAGACTTTGTAGCTCAGTGAATAACACTTTGGGCATTTGATGTTAGAGTATTGAATTGAAATCCCATTATGAGCAGCAACATGAGAACCCGTTTATGTCCAACTGATGAGTCTCAAATAAAACGAAACACTAGTCGTGAATTCCACTGCTGACCACCAACCAACTTTACTAGAAGTTTGTTTCAGTTGGCCACTTTTTGGCTTGATCTTGCATAAATGTTATTTCCTATTTTATGGTGTGATGCAGTCTGTTTGTCTGGTATATAAACCAAGTATGTTTGAAATAAATCATTCGCACAGTGGAAGCTGTTATTGGTGTTCTGGACTCAAGTAGATGGGCTAGGTGAACAAAGGAACAATAAGGACGCACGGCTGTTCATACCAGTCAAACGACATAGGTTTGGCACAATATTAAGATTGAATGTCATATCTCGATTAGCGAATAAATCACGTGATAACAAGCCAAGCTCAAGGCACAACAATTTTTTTTTATAAACTGAGTATGTATTCGCGATAGTATGGCTTTAAAAATAAATTCACCGTAAAGAGAACTCTTCGCTTTACCAGTCTTTCTTATTTTGATATTCCACAGTATTTTATGATTGATAAAAGTGTTTGTATTTTCCTGCTGTTAATGTACTGGACTAGATTTTGACTAGTTTTTGTTGATATTTGCACTCATTAAGCGGATATTTAGATATTAGATGTATTTATGAATTTGACAATGTTTTCGAATGATAACTAGTAATATAATCTGGAATATGTTTCGTCCTACTCAGGATTCATCGACTAAATTTACCTAAAGCGATAAACAATGGTTTCAAGTCCCAGTTTGAACTTCAATATCACTACACTAATATATACTGCTTATCTGCCTGAAATTTAGGACAAGGACTAACCATTAATAATTCATATCACTTGCATAAATTCTCTGCTCTGTTCTACATTAAACTTGTATGTTTTCCAGTTAGTGTACACAAATAGTGTAAAGTACAGTAGGCCGGAGGAATGTATATTTATTGTGAGAAGTTACGAACTAATTGCATAATACATATACGTAGCCTTTAGTCTTCCATTTAAACCTTTCGGTGTGCGCTGCAGTCTGAATCGTATTCTCGTCTGATCTCCAACTCCATGTTTTCAATGTTCTGAAACTCTTCACTCTGACAATTGCTGCAACTCCAACGCCACATTCCTCTACACACTACTTAAAAACAATCTTGTAAGTAGCATCCACTATACTAGCATATTAACGATTTTAGAGTCATTCAGATAGAACCATTTTAGAATTATTTATAATTCTCATTATTTGAAGCATGAAGCGTATCGTCTATATTGTATAATTCCAATCGGTTAGTTCATTTATTTTGATTGATCTAAATAATCATATGTATAACAGTAATTACTAATTGTTTTAATGTTGTTTATTAGTTCTCTGTTTATTTACCTATATAACTGTGCGTAGCTTCCTTCATTCCTTAATTAATACCGTAAATCTATTATTCAATAATGAATACTTCCTAATTGTAATTGGTTTAGGAGACATGATTTGAGAAATTCTGTTTCTTGATTTATGTAACATTAAGTCAATATACACATTGTCTTGTACACTACATCAGTCAGCCATAAACAATGTAGAACTCCAAAGACATATTCATTTGTTCAAGTTATCATACTACACCAAATGATCAAAATATCAAGTCAAATTTCAGAGTAATAGAATCAGTAACAGTATCACTAGTAGTGGAAAAGTTTTTATGTATATTATGATCAGAGTAGAAAGGATAAATTCGCAGAATTAAAGGTAAATGATAATTTTAAAACTCATGATCTAAGTGAATTGCTCTACACAACATTGGGGTTTTTATTCTGAGCCAGTGTTACCTAGCAACTCCAACTATAGATTTGAGATCATCTCGCTGACTCTGATCAAGTAATCTGCGTTTATCAACACGAACCATTTCAGTAGCTACTTACAACATGGACTGATACTTTGTCTTGGTTTGGCAGTCAGTCAGTCAGCTACAACGTAGGACCAGGCACATACATGCATCGGTCCAAGTTGCCATACCTCATTAACACAACAAGATAGATGGACACCGAATCCATAAAAGTAGTTAATCGACAGGTGGTAATATATAAAAGAAAGACTGCAATAAGGATATAGTACAGGAAGAAAGAATTAGTTCATAGAAAGAAAGATATGAAGCAATTTTAATCTCACAGTTTAAGGGAAGATAGAGAGTGTATACACCGACGCCATTGTGATCGATTCTGAGCCATGTCACCAAGAGTCTCCAACCATTGGTTACTATAGTGACGCGGACCCCAAACAAGTAGTCTGCATTTACCAACGTGGCTCAGACTAGAAGTTAGTGACTTCAAGCACTGATGATGCTACGTTTTGGTTTGGCCGCCCCTAACTTTCTTCCAACCATCTGCAGCACCGGTTAGCATTGCACGTCGTGGTAATCGGTGTTCGGGCATACGTAACACGTGGCCCAACCATCTCAGTCGATGAAGATTCACAACCTCATCAACTGATTTACCATCATTCCCTAATACCCTGCGTCTAACCTCACTATTACTTACCTGGTAATCCCAGCAGAGGCCAGCAATATTTCTGAGGCATCTGTGGTCAAATACCAGTAGCTTACGAGTGTCTTCTACTCATAATGGCCATGTTTCTCTGCCGTAAATTGAAACAGAACGGACTGCCACGCAGTATACTCGTCCTTTTATTGATAGACGGATATCTCGCCTTCGCCAAAGGCGACGTAAGTTGGTAAAAGCCAAGCGAGCTTTTCGAATCCGTGCTGAGATTTCGTCAGACACCAACCCATTAGGGCTGATCAGACTTGCAAGATAAGTGAAGTTGTCAACGCTTCCGACTACTTCACTCCCTATCCTTAGTTCAGGTGTTGGCGCAGACCAATCCTTGGTTTGGCAACGTCTAACTTCCTTCTAATCTATTCTTGTGAAAATATATTTACTTGTACAATGTTAATCATTGTAAATCTCTTTCCCAGTGTATAACTTCCATTCAGTTTCATTTTTTAAACACAAGAAATATTCTTCTCTTTTTTCAACTAGAAATATTCTGATTGTCAATGTGTAACCCCATCTTCACTTAATCCATCTGGTTTGATCTCATCAATACCAATGTCATTATCATCGTCGATGAGAATAAATAATGAATTCTTATTAGCAAATAATTCTGGTGAAGTTTATCCTGGTCGATGTAAACCTAAGTGTACTTTGTATGGTTTATTTCTAGCTATGTTATTCTTACATATTCTTTGTACTGGTATGTTACAAAATCCAAGTAATGTAATCACATTGAGGTGAGTGGATTGATGATGATAACTACTGAATATTGTTTTCCGTTAGAATTTCTTATAAATGAATTAACACTCTTCCTACAATATTACTTTGTCTTGTGATTACTGTTCTTGAAAGATTTCATCTAAGCCTTGATGATATGTGAAGTGGATGCCTAAGTGTTTTGATCATTACTAGTGTTAGCCTCTTACACTCAAAATGTGATTGAAGTACAAGTACACATTGAATAACCGATATTTGTTTGAAGAATTTTAGCTTAAATAACATTAAACTACTGTTTCGTGTTTAGATTGCTTTGAAGTTTATCAGAAGTATTCTTCCATGATTTGTTATTGATCTCCTGACAAGTAAATTACCAGGTTAAAGTATTCATTTGTATTGCACGCAATATAATACCAAATGGCCTGGTACGGCCGAGAGTGGGGAGATTCCGCTCTCTCTCCCTCTCGAAATGTTCAAAAGTTATTAGCATTGTAATTGATTACTGATTATTAATCAGTAGCATAATTAATAAAGAGGAAAGAAGTCAGAAAGGAAGGGAATAAATATTTTTTATATAGTCCCAAACGAACCGAACACTCAGACAATTTGGAACGAAATGATGTTCTTTTCTTAATCAATTGATGAACGCTAATTTCTTATTTGACATTTGAATAACAAGAGTTAATGCCAATGGTGGAGAAGATTTGTAGCTCAGGTAAATGATTTTGGTCTTTTGTTCCCCAGCTCAGAGAAATTAGATATGTCCTGAGAAGAGAAATAAACTCTGTAAATGTTTCTTTTTATACGAAGAATTAATGAAATATTATAGCTTCCACTGCACACAAGAGCAAATATATAAGTCAAATTATATGGGATTCAATGTATATATCCTTATGTGTTACATTTATATCAATCTGTCGGCTCGCATCAGTAATTATTTATAGATAGAACTTGTTTCTATGTTTTACTTGTCCTCAATCATAAAAGGTAATGTTCCTAGGTAAATGACAATAGATTCTATCACTGACCTACGTTCAAGTTGTCTAAGGATTGAGAAATATTAATAGTTGAATTCATGAGTCAATTGAAGCCAGACCACCATGGAAAACCTGGAAGCACAGATTTTCCATGGTGGTCTGGCCTCAATTGACTCATGAATTCAACTACCATAATTACTATAATATTCGCAAAACCCCTTTCTGATTAAGAAATATGTTTAAACATAAACTCAGCTCAGCAGAAGTTCTAACTTGTATAGGATCTCTTTTCGTACACTACTGGATAAAGTTAGTGTACTTTGATATTTTTTTAAATGGTAGGCAGTGTTTATGTTGCTTCATCTTCACATACAATTGTTTGTGAATGTGTTACCTACAATCGATACTATTTGATTCCAATGAACCGAATCTATTGATGATCTCACTTCATCGATTTTCATCAGTTTTAGGTATGATATAACCATTAAACTTCAATGGTAAGATTTCTACATATACAGTTCTATTTTATTAGTTGTAACCGACATAGAACCTGGCGGTTATGTGTGTTGACTCAAGCTTCCATACCTTAATATCATCATGATGAGATAAACATGAACACTAAAAGAATCGGTATCATTAAGTAGTAATAATGGTGAGAAAGATTAGTCATAGCAAACATCGTCCGAAAAGACTAAATAAAAGGAAAATATGTACAAGGGAATACTGGAGCTGAAAATCTTCATTAAGATAAACAGTGAATACATCTGTGCCATATCATTCAATGTCTTTAACCACTAATTGTAATTATCACAATTACCTCAAATCAACATCATTTGTACTTATCCAACATGGCTAAGATTAGTTCTTTTGAAATTGTCCTTTCTTTTTTCAAATGAATACTATTAATCATTCATATTTTATAAAAATGAACTAATAAAGATATAATTTGTAAATTATCTTTACAGTTGTGTCTCATCAGAAGATAGTTCTGTTGCACTTGGATTACAGATATTCTTTGTCAGAACATTAGGTAAGAAAAAATTGTAAAACAATATTGTTTTATAATTCGGTTCTCTTTGTTTGTTTTATTCAGATAAGTAGTTGATTTAGTCATTATATACTGTGACTTCAAATATCCACTTCAACTTCTAACTTTTATTGTTGATCGATGTGTATAAGAGATACTGACAGACGATCTATCATGGATGTTATCTTCTTTCTTTATTTCCTTACAATTTATTAAGTTTATTTTTATAGTGATAAACATTAGACTAAGTAATATGGTGCATAGTTGTAGGATACTTTTTGGTTTTTGTACAAATTCCGCAAAGCAGTGAAACAGTCTGTGTTAGGCTGTTTTCTTATGTTAATGATGCCAAATACACTAAACTCTATGAAGTATTAAATTGTTAGAAGTTATTTTGTTTTTACTGAAGTTCAGCTATTGGTTTATATAAACTCAATGGGATATCGATCTGCTGCGGCTTCAAGGTCACATTATTTGAACATTGTCTTGATATACTCTGAGCCCCAAATGCCCTGGTACGGCCGAGAGTGGGGAGAGTCAGCTCTCCCTCTCGAAATGCTCTCACATGGCTACACGTATATAGTTTCTGCCAGGGAAGTCCTACTCACTGTCTTCTCGTAACGGTGGTGTTGTTTACGAAATTCAGAGGACGAAAAGCGAATGTCCGGCGCTTTAACCGGATTCCGAACCAATGGTGCACGTGGGATCCAGTATCCTGCAAGAACAAATGGCGTATGAACCAATTGTTGGTCACCGGCTTCCATGGGACTGCATCTCCTTTACGATGCTCCACTGCCTTGTGGATCAGACCTTTAGGTCGAAGGCTCGGGGAGTGGCCCCCTAAGAAAACTGCCTGCTTCGGTTTGGGCACCCGGGCAGTATCACAGCCCTCACACTTATCGAATGAGATTTGTGTGGCGCATATGTATTTGGTGCCTCCTTGTACCAATATCTATGTGTTAAAATAAAGAATGAAATGATGTACTCTGGTACTTTTACGACTGAATGTAAAGTCTAGGTGGTGTTTGTTTTCAAACGTAACTTTGCTGTATAGGTGGAAAAGTCAGATTTGAATACTTCATCTTTTGGGTTAATAATTGGGGCTGGTCCGCTGAAACTTTATGCAACATCTCTCGACCATCCATTTGTTCTTAATTTTTTGCTCAAAATGTATCAGTGACATTGGTAACTGTGCCAGTTGTTTGGAATAGTTCCAATATGTTCTGACTTAATAAATTAATCTGCTCTAAAGTGAAGTAGTTGTTTCAACTCACTGATTGACATACTATCATTATTCAGAACACCCATACCACTTGCAGAATTTGTTCTGAACTCATCTACATCCACTTCTAACATACATCAGTTAATAAATCGAAACACTATTTTCAAACTGTTTTATGCTACTCTAAATCTAAAAAGCAGTTGATACTCGTTTAAGTAAAGTTGGCTATCAGTAGAATCCGAGACGAGCGTTTCGTCTTATTCAGGACTCACTAGCCGGATATACTACCTTCCTCCCATTGTTCACAATGGAACATAGCACCTTTCATTTCAAATGGCTAACACATTATTCACTGAGCTGTTGAGTCCAAATAACTGCTAGCTTGTACAATCGATATAAATTTAATTCTATATTTCCTTTTAGTCACAAATTTCAGTAAAATTGGATAGTGGTTAGTGGTGGAATCACTGATATACAATTGAATGACAATAGTGAATCAATCTACGTTCGAAATACACGAACATCATAAGGGACTGATTAGTTGAAATCCTGAACATTTCAAAAATTGGTAAAATACTAAACCTTTACAAATAACTAATATATGGATAACAAAATTAAGATGTAATTTTCTACTGAATGTGAACAGGCAAACACTTAGTTTACTTACTATTTAACGTTTGATTTCCATGCTATCTTTAATTTCTACTAGGGACTCATTGAGTGCAAACTGATTATAATTGTACTGATTAAACTATTGCTTAGTCGTGTTCGCTGGTCTTCTTTATATTTGTTCGTGAATAGTGTATCTAGTATAACGTTATCCAGTCTCTGTATATTGTATCTATCGAGTATCTAGTCTAATGGTAACCTAATCTCGATCTCGATTGTATTATAGTAATGAGTACTAGAAAATATTCTTATTCTCTCTTCTTTTTTTTCAATGACAGTTGGATAGAAATGTTCATCTTTTAATCAGTGAATCAATGTTCTTTGTTCATTTTTTTTTCTTTGAATAGCATATATTCCGGCACCGATGTATTTCGGCCAACTATTCGATTTAGCTTGTCAATATCGTTCAAATCCTGCAGATCACTATTCATCCAGTCCAATAAATAATAATGAATCGTTATTAATGAATACAAATATATTATCATCATTATCAAATTCATCCATATTCTCATCGTCTTCGTCTTTCTCACCATCATCATCTCCACTGTCATCAATCTACTCGTCGTCTTCTGCAACCACTGCTACTACAATGTCTTTAGATCAAAAGTATTCTACAACAGCTGGTGGATGTTTAGAATATAATTTAGAAGGTTTACCATTTATTTGGCTTGGTACTGTATGTGTATTAAAAATAATTAGTTTGATTGGATCCACAATTACTTGGTGGTTAGCTAAGTAAGCATTGTTGTTGTGTTTTTATCTATGTAGATTACTTGTTCGGGCAGGTATTGGGCCGTAATGACAGGAAAGTAGTTGTATGATTTCCCTCTCTCTTCCTAGTTCGATTATTGATTAGTTCACCTATATTGTTATTGGGACTGGTAATCTTTCATTTACTAATTGACGCATCGATCAACGAACAACAGCCATGATCATAACGATTATTTGTCTTCGTGCACTTTCTAACACAGTAGCCAATCGGAAGACGGAGGTAGAGAGAGCAGATCTATTGTATTGTACTCAATTCAATCATGACTCAAAGCTCATAAAATAATATACCTGACATATTTTGACCACACAATTAGTGTACATAACTTAGTCACATGTGACACAGAACCGAAGTAAATAGGGGAATGATTAATCAATGATAAACCTGGAGTAATCAGACGTATGACTACGATTTCTGGAATGAAAGCAAGCTTAGAAATTCCAGGTATTGTATATTTGGATTTAGGCGTTCAGGTCTCTCATCAGGTTGATCAGATCCTTTCCTGAACATGTCTCTACTGCAACCTCTCATTAAACTAGTCTCTCTAGTCTTTGTTTTCATCATTGGTGGGCGCATAGCCTTGAATAAAATTTATTGTTATTCTCTCTTTTGGTCTTAAGAATGCTTTGGTGATTCTAGGTTCGTCAGATTTCTACCCTATAAGTGCTTTTCTTGCTTCTTTGGACAACGTCATGATCTTGCTCAAGATCATGGATCGATTGAAGGTAGAGTTTGCACGCGAGACTGAGGGTCCTGGGTTCGAGTCCTGCGTGCGGGGTCGTGGATGCGCACTGCTGAGGAGTCCAGTGTTTCCAGGTTTTTAAGGGTTGTCTAGCTTAGATCGACTCATGAATTCAACTGTGAAAATACTACAATCTCCACAAATCCCCATACTGATAATTTATATTTGTTTTTGTACCTAGTTGTATCAAATTTTGTGCCTCGACGTGCGATGTTCAGTGGTATAGGAGTAGGTTGGAAGAAAGCTAGAGGCGGCCAGACCAAAACATGGCACAAGTCCATGAAGTCACTGACAAGTGGTCTGAGTCATGTCGGTAGGTGTAGACTACCTGGTTGGGGACCGCGAGGTGATAGCAACCGATGGTTAGAGACCCTGAATGACATGGCTCAAAATCGTTTGCAATGGCGCAGGTGCATCCACTCTCTGTGTTCTCCCAAATTTTGATCTCTTTATTCCTCCTTGTCTTTTTTTTTCTCCTCTCAAATTTATTTCACTGTATTATACTCTTTAAGTAACATCTCCAAACACTAATCTTCCCGATTACTGCTTATACTCTTATTACCTCTATCACTACGGGATTTGAATCGACCACTGCATCTCTGTGCTAATGTGGTGTGGCAACTCGAACTGATGTACGTACGTACGAAGTTCTACGTTGTTACTGACTGAAATTTTGTGCAAAATATATAAATAAAGGACGAGTAACACAATCTTGATAAATACTAAGATATGATCTTGGCGGTGATACTATAATTTATAAATGTTTTTTTGAACGGCTGTAAAGTGACGCTAGGTAAGTTCAACTACCCTACCTAGGGTCTAAGGAGGGTTATGACTTAGTGTGAGAAATTGGAATCGAGATTTAGAGTTGTAATATCGTTTAACAAACAGTCCACATTTCCCTATCAATCACAATTTGATTATCTTCATATTAACATCTCTAATTGTGACATTGATATAGACTTCAATATCATAGTTTAATTCACGTGAAGATCACAGTTGCATCTTACTAAAATATTCCATTTACTATGAAGCTTATATCAAACAGAGCTTCATATTAATCGCCTTGATTTATTGCTTAGAACAAAACTACGATGCACATCATAAGAGAAACCACCTAAACTAATAATATACGTTGAAAATTGATCCAAACTATACAAGAGCAATGACAATTAATTAGTGCAACTTCTCAAACTGTTCATTTTATTCTGTTGTTATAATATTTTCATTTTGATCTGTTGAGACAATATCGTGATCATTATCATTATCACTTTAATGTATAATTTAGTTGTTCTCTTCTCATACAATACACACATTCCTTTCTCTTTGTTTCACTTATTTCAAAGACGTCAATTCGATTTGATGACAAAACACAAAGAAAAACAACAAACTATCGAAGGTGAAGAAACAAAGAAGGAAATGGAACTTGCATTACATCAGACAATTACCTCTAATCCAACTAACATTAATAATAATACTAATAATAATAATAATAATAATAATAATAATAATAATAATAATAATAATGCATTTGAATTGATCGATTCAACGTCGAATGGTCATCAAATACAAATTGTATAATTAAATAATAATCATCATCGTCATCAAGGTCCAGTATGATCTCACATGTATGTGTCTTTGTATGTTTTTTTTTTGTTTTAAAAAAAAGAAAAAAAAATTTTACTCAACCTTTTACTTGCTTGTGGTTTGTCTCTTTTCCGGGTTTCATTTACTTCACTTTTCTCCCTACATTATGTCATGGTATATGAATGTAGTGGGATTTCTTAAGAGAACTAATAAAGATTTTCACTAACTTTGAAGAAGAAGAAAAAAGAACATACAAACTTTTCTCTCCATGTACATAATTCACTTGTAAAACTTCTTGGATTTCCTCTCTCTCTCTCTTTTGAATCGTGGAACAATGGTGGCTCACTGGTTATTTTTAATACATTCAACTTTCATTCACTAAGTCACACCTCCATACTACTTAATTTCATCTAAACAACTGAGGAGTAGTAGTAGTAGTGTTATTAACCTTCTTTTCCTAGTTACCTTATAACTTATTATAATCTCATGTAAAGTATATTATGAATGAATTTGAAACTTTGAATTTTCATATTTATAGAATAAGCACTAAAACATTGATTATGTTTGTTTATCATCTATACTATCTCTTGTGTTATCTAGATTTGATTCATTAAAAAAAGGAAAGTCTTATCATTTGTTATTGTATAATAGTTCCTCAGTTATTTTCTTTGTCTTCTTTACAATCACCATTATGAATTGTGGTTGTTAAGATGAGGTAGGTAGGTGGGTGGGTGGTTGCTTGGTTATTTACTGATGTATTTTTTTGTCACTTTAAATGTTGTCATTACTGCATTTTTCTTTTCGTTTAATGTTCACTATGTAGTTAGTTCTACAAAGTGAATTCATCCACTTTACTCGATAACATTGAATTATCTTGTGTAGTTTCTTTTCATTTAAATGTACTACATGTTGCTATGACCTTTTAAAGTGTGTATACATGTGTGCTCATTGAAATTTCTAATAGCCGGTGATAATAATTGTTGTCTACAATATTAGGCATATTTCCTTTTTGTATTATGTGTGTGTTTTCTCATATTTCTATATGAATTTCTTCTTGTATAGTCTCTCTGTATGCTTATTTGCGAAGCGAATACATGTGTTCTTTCTTAACAATAATAATGATTATAGATTACTCACATCATTTACATTGAATTACAATTTAATGACTTATAGTGTTTGATCTGATCTAAGTGTTAAGTAGAGAATGATTATCATTTAGTTATAGTCGAAGATGTAGTAAAGATCGCTTAAAGCTAAGAACAAACAAAGTACCAAGAACTCTTAGTCTATCAGATAATCATGGTTTTATGATACAAAAACTAATAATTAAACCATGTGATGAGGCTGGATAAATTTTGAATGAGATCTCATGTATTAAATGAATAACTAGATTCGTTTTGTTGTGCGAAATTTATTTATTTAAACATATAAACAATGGTACAATGAGTCACCGAATAGATATGCGCCACATAAATCATTCAATTTGTGTGAGGGCTGGAATACTTTTCGGGTGCCCAAACTGAAGCGGGTGGTTTTCTTAGGGGGCCACACCCAGAGCCTTCGAACAAAATTCTGAACCACAAAGCAGTGGAACAACGTCAGGAGATTCAGTACCTTGGTAGCCAGTGACCAACAATTGGTTCATATGCTATTTGTTTCCTTAAAATCCTGGAGACCATGTACACCATTGGTTTGAAATGAGGGTTTTCCAACTCCCCTAGGTTGACTCTCTGAGTCCAACGACCCGGTTAAAGCGCCGAATATTCTTTTTTCGTTCTCTCAAATTCGTAAACAACACCCGTAGTGAGAGAAGGTAGTGAGTAGGACTTCCCTGTCGGTCGTTGTATTCACGTAGGCATGTGAGATCATTCGGAAAGCGAGAGAGGTGACTCTCAGCCGTACCAGTGCATTTTAGGGCTGTAGTGTGAAAGGAAATTATTGACATGGTATTGCATTTACACAATAGACAAAGGTCTCAGGAAAGTCATGGAACCTTTAGATTTTAAAGAATGAAGCTCAATAAATGTTTCATATCTAATGTATCTAGGAGTTGAACTTGTTGGAAATTCCAAAGTCTCTACATACCCAGAAATTGTCAGGAGATGTTTTTCTCCAATTAGCGTCATGCAGAAACTTCCTCAAAATATCTAACAAGATGAAGGATCATCCCTATAGGATATTTAACTATACGCTTACTATATTTAGCATGTTCCCGAAAAGTTCCAGATCACGTTTACATACATATTTATATACACCCTCGGTTTTCTGTAAATAAACGGATTCTTTTACTCATGTTCCTCCTTTTCTCTGTTGTTTGAGTTAATGTATAGAAGTAGTTTGGGGTTATAATAATAAGCGTTCCAGTAACAGATTTATCAGGAATGTAGTGTGGGTGTATAGATGAGAAGACTCGTTGAAGTATGTCTTGAATCAGTTAGCTAGTATTTACGTTATACACAGCGCAAAACTTGGCCTAAATATGCACCATCATTTCATCTATAAATTCAGGAAGAAGATTAACTAGATCGAAGGCACGTGAATCGAAATAATTATTGTTCAGAGAGAAAAACTAGACCCTACATAGTAACAAAAGTAAGATAAAGATTACTTGTGTCCGTGCCACTAATCAATTCGAGAAGCCTTCAACCATACATTGCGATTATTACATTAATCCCAACCAATAAGTCTATATCTTGTGATGCGGCGGCTCATGCTCCATTGGGAGTAACAGGCTTAAGTAAGTAACTTTTTGTTTTGGCGTTAAATTTTGGGTTGAGCTTTTCTAATTCTTTCCGATCCGACGTGAACCAAGATCCTTCGTCACGGAGACTGGCTGAGGATGTGTGACACATTGTCAACTATTTCTGTTGACGAAGATTCACAGCCTTATAAAACGTTTCTAATGTCTAATTAGTATCCTACATCTGATTCCACTATGTGGTCGAATAGTAGTTACTTACAGATATCGATTGCATTCAAAGACATTTCATTGTCATGGTTTAAAACACATTGAACTCCTGCGTTATTTATATTCTCTATAGGGGGAAAACTTACATTTCATAGCACAATTTGATAAGAGATAAGCGATCGTTTTACATAATAATAGTTCAAGTTTGGGTAAATTAAAATTAATTGGCTAACAACTGGTTCATTAATGGCTTATTTAGAGAACCCAGCATAAAACAACTAGGCTCTTCATATTGATTTACTTAATGTAATGGGAAAACGGAGTTGATCTGTAATAGATTTCTAACCAATCTGGTTACAGACACTTGTTAATGAAAACACTGGCAACTAATTGGGCAGATTCAAGGTTAAGACAAATTGTTTATATTTACACAAAGGAGTTTCTAATCCCCAAAACTGTATGTCTTTAACAATATCTACACAAGGTGTTTTAAAATCAATCTTATGGTCTGTTACAACTATGTGTGTTACTAACGTGGAGAATGATTTTTTTATTCCTATATTTATGTCCTTGGACTGTCTACCCACTTTGTTGCTGAGGTTACGTATCTAATCCAGATTAAGACCTTGGCGCGATAGGCTGACCGACCTTACTTGAGGCTAGTACGCGTGAGTTCAAAGTGTGGTAGAGAGAAGAAAACTATTCTATCACCTGATTAGCTGACAAGCACGCAAATGAGAGAAGACAAGACAACTGGAACACTACTCGATCTATTCCCGATATCCTGATTTTCGGATTAGTGTAAAAAGGTACATGGATAATTAGGTGACTAACCCGCCACAACATACAATTATGTCCAAAGCCGGGAATTAGCGTAGAAAATATTAATGTTTACATTACAATAGCTTCGGAACAGAAAAGGGTATGGCAATGAATCATACATCGAACGAAAGCTTATGTTCTGTAGAATAGATTCGAGACAAAAATAAATGTTAATGTTTTACAAGCTTTGCATAAAATGAAATAACGTCCCGAAAAATAACATTCGTAGTTTGTCAGGGCTTCTTGTTTCTCTGTTCACATCACCTATGATTATCAGATTATTTGAGAATAATTAACTATGAAAGTATTTAGATACATGCCATATGACCTCGAGATGGATTGTTTGATTACTCCATCTTATGTGTTTATGCTCACACATTGGTAAGTGCAGTGGGATATAATGTAAGCATTTATACAATGTTGAGTAGTATGTTTTAATGATAATCGATTTAGTAAAATAATAGGGTTACTCAATGTCTGATTTTGATTTTTTTTTTGTTTTTTACAGTAATGTAAATGTTTTTCTTTGAAGCAGAACTTAATAAGGAGTTCCAATTTTCACTGACTTTTAAACTCATAGATGAACTTCAACAGATATCTGTTCGATATCAATTTTTTTTAGTCAGTAGTTTTAGATCTTCAATAGTATTTGTAATGTGGACTCTTTGAAATATTTTCAGGAGGCTTCTTATCAAACCTCACCTGTATTTGTAGGTTAGATATTGACCAGTCTATGTGAACTTCCTGTAAATTGATTGTTTTTTTTAACCCGATCTCCCTTTCGACTTAAAAGTTTGTTTAGAAGGGACAAATGGTCAATATTTTCCCCTTCATAAGTTAGTACGAAATTTTGATGTTATTAAGTCTATCTACAAATTGATCCACAACGAAATGTGGGAGACTATAATTTATGGAATAATTAATAGACTTACAGATGGTAAGTCCAGGATTTTTGCGCGAAATTCACTCATCCTTATAGTTAAATGAAATTTAGACATGATAGTTGACGTAAGTTCATGATGAAAATTTTAACATGAATTCTTAACCACAGCTTCCATTCGTAAATCCTAATCGTAGCCTTAGTGCACGCTAGGCTTGGGAAGGTCCGCTCTCCCTCCCAAAGTGTCCATATGCGACCATGTGTTCTTAGCCTCTGTTAATGAAGTTCTACTCACTAACTTTTTTCAAAGAGGCGTTGTTTACGAAAGTAAGGGGATGAAAAGCGAACGTCTGGCGATGGAAACGAATTGGTGAATATAGAGAACTTACACGAGGAATTTCGATAATCTTGATTCCTGAAGAACAATGTAAATGCGCTCCAAAGGCCCTAGAAAACGAATGGTGTATGGGTCTATATTTGGCTACCGGTTACAGCATACTTTAACATTGCTCCACTCTCTTTTTTAATTAGACCTTTAGATCAAAGCCTAGATGAGTTGCCTTCGAACATTCTACTTGCTTCAGTTTAGGCAATTTTGCCGTATCCAGCCTACACACAAACTTGTTCTGTGCGGTCTAGACTATTTCTGGTGCCTAATTGTACTAGATTTTTATTCCATAGATCATAAACATAGAAGTTTGTCTATATTTGTGAGATTTAAAGGTAAACAGTATGACTGCATATATTGTAAAACATTAAACTTTATAGCTAGTAAATTTACAAGACATACGAACCGTGAATTCACTAAGCTTATCAGATTTTTACATAAATACATTTTTAAAAGAAGCGATTGATGACAACAGGAGAATAACAATTAGATCAGCGGATAAGTTTTGATTATGAGCGAAGTGATCTCAAGTACTGTCAGGGGTGTGACGCAGTTGTTAACTGTCGTTCGAATACGCTTTGAAGTGACAAATGATATTGAGATGCTTGAAAATGAAACTAGGTCGGAGATGTTCTTGACAAACTGGTATGGTGATCACATTGCTAAAAGGAAAACCGCTTGCGGTCGGTCATGTACAGTCTTTATGTGAGTAGTTTTAGATGAGTTAGCAACAGAAATCCAAGCAATAAAGTGAAATGTTTTGTTTTTAGGGTCTCTCTACATAATTCTGGGTATGAAACACGGTTGTTGGAAGTAGAGCACATATTTAGACCCGACGTTTTTGTCCTAGGTACTTAGAAGAACTATTTGCTTATCGTGAGACGACCGATTGAGAAATGTTGAGGTACTAGTTAGTAAAGGAAAATCGATAGATCAGGTTATAAATCATCACCTGAGGTGGTTAGGGTATGTGTTACATATGCCCTATCACCGCCTACTTTGACAAGTAATGTTATCTGTTATGTGAATAGGTTTGAAGAAAGCTAGCGGCATACAAACGAAAAAGTTATTGATAGTTGGTCTGAGTCATGTTGGCAGATCAGCGTAATAACCGTCATCAGTGGTTTGAGACTTTAGGTAATTTTGGCTCAGAATCTATCACCATTACACAAATACATTGACTCTTTATCCCCTATTCGGTCTCGAATTTCAGTATTTCTTCGTATATACCTTCCAACACTATCTTTCCAAGCTGTATTCTCAATATATATTTTCTTTCATTATCAATGCTATCATAGTATTTGAATTCGGTTGCAACTCGTCATGTTGATCTGGCACAGTAATTTGATCCAACGCTAATTTGTATTAGGTTCTAAGTTGATTATAAGTGACTAGATCAATGGATTAAAATAAAGCACAACATTGAGATTAGATGGTGGTTGGAGGTAGTCGACAGGAAACCTTGGACCCGGGTTTCGTGCTACTTGGCACTCGTCAGCAAGTTATACCTGTAATCTTGAGGGAACTGGTGCTCCCTGACGGATTCGATCCCGTTTCAACCAACTTCATGGTCAGAAACGTTACCACTGAGCTATCTAGATCCACACATGACATAGATCAATCAATTGTAAAGCACAACATTGATTTTTACAAGCAAAAAGGGGATATATTTGTTGTTTTAAAAATAGAATAGTCAATACATAACGAAACTATGCGTATAACACACTATTAAAAGCATTAAAAAAACGGTAAAACAGATTATTATTGTTATCACCATCGTTTAAATGTTAGATTCCTTCTGAATGAAGATGAAAAGTAAATGAAGAGAAATAAAAGAAATCAGATTTTCTAAATAAAATAAAAAATTATTTATCAAACATCTTTTATTTCTGATTGAGATCACGAACCAATTGATGTTAGACCATCTTTGCAAACGTGGAAGCATTGGACAGCCTTTCTGTCCTATTGTGGGACTCCTCGGCAGTGCGCATCCACGATCCCGCTCACGGGATTCGAACCCAGGGCCTTCAGTCTCGCGTGCGAACGCTTAACCTACTGGACCACTGAGCCGGTATCCAATGGTGATAGTGTCTAACATCGACCAATCCACGAAATTGCGCGACCATCTTGGATTGTACTGAGGTAGATACCTGTCTCTACCCAACATGGATTAGCTCCACTGGTCGCGGTTTCTCATTAGAACTCCGAGAGTTCCCTCACAAAGCTAGTCACTAGTGAGCACATGTTAATTACTAGTATAGGGGTTGTGGAGATTATTAAGTTTTTGACTAGCTTCGTGAAACATCAGTCGGCTCATGATCTCAATCAAAAACTTAATAATCTCCACAACCCCTATACTAGTAATCTTTTATTTCTCTGTTACATAATGCAAACCGTTAACATGTTACATGAAGTGTTAACGTCAATGTTAAGTGATTACATAACTTAATGAAAGATTAGATTTGCATTTAATCTAGATTTGTGTGTTAGTTAGCATTCACGAAAACAAGAAGTTAGGAGAGACTACAATTTGTGGACGAGCCAATCAGAAGCGTTTGAGGGAGTTCAAGGTCACGGCATCCATTTCAGTACTTGAGGTTTACGTACAATCGGTTCACAGAGGATTCTAGGGAAGATATGATAATTGAACGGCTACAACAAATGGAATTATTAAGTTTTTTCATTTGTTATTGTGGTAATCAAATGACTTGTTGACCTTTGTGTAGACTACCATTATGATGTCTTTCGATATAATATATGTTAGAGGAAGAAGTCTGCTAGAATAAGGACTTTTTTCGTTCGATTCAGATAGAGACGAAGAAAAATTCTGATATTTGTTGCGAACTGTATAAAGCATCAGTAACATTGACTGCAACATTCACAGATGTTACTGAAGCTTCGGTTGTTTAGTGGTATGAGTAGTGTAGAGATATATGTGTAACAAAAATGACAAGCTTACACAACCGGAGTGCACACGAACAATATTGAGGATATATGGCCGAGGCTGAAATAGTTTTTGCGACCTTATCAAGACTCCAGAGGCCTACTATTATAAAGCCATATGGATGAGTTCTTCTATCGAATGCATTACGACTTTAAAACCTCTGAACCTCTTTCTAACCTTGACAAGTTTTTGAACCATGTAAAAGAAGTGTATCCACTTTAATTCCTTGGTTTTACATAATGTCTTTACTATATACTAACTGTTTTCTGATTGATTAACACTTTTCAACGTCACTTAAAATTCATTCAAAGGTCGTCCATAAATTATAGTCTCGTCAGGGATTGATGCATCTCATGAGAATTAAACCAGTTTCAGAATTAAGAATGTTATCACAGAGTTGTTCAGACCGTGATTGACTGCATCTCTAACTCTTTGGGATAGAATTCATTGTTTGCTAACTGAAATCAGTGATAAGTATTGTGCAGAGCATTTTCGTATTTACTTGGCAAGAATCTTAACAGAAATGATTTTCTTATATGCTTGTTTCCTTCTGTCGTTTAACTACTATTATATCCTGTCTGTCTCTCTTTTAGCAATTCTAGGATTCACCGTTTTACCTTTTTTAAACCGAAAAGATGTGTTATACACAATGAATGGAATGGATGCTAGTTAGTAATTACCCATCTGCATGTTAAGTTATTAGTTATAAACCAGGTATCTGTGATGTATGGAAAAGTTATCCACAACAGACAACAAGTGAAAGTTGTGTAATATCGTGAATTGACTGAATTTGGACACTAAAACGATTGGATACCGGCTAATTGATCTAGAGTTTAGACATTCGTGAGCTAGACTAAAGATATTAGGTTTGACTTCTGGATGTAAAGTTGTGAATGTACACTTCCAGTAAGGAGTCCTGTGCTAGAATGAAACAGACATTCAATTCTTCTTGCAAATTTTCCATGGTAATCTAGTAAATATTAGTTCTTGATTTAAATTGAAAATTTATGATTGATTAATGAACACATGAATATGATAACATCTATGCCCCCAAATGCCCTGGTATGGCCGAGAGTGGGGAGAGTCCGCTCTCCCTCTTGAAATGCTCTCACATGGCCACGCGTATATAGCCTCTGCCAGGGAAGTCCTACTCACTGCCTTCTCGTGGCGGAGGTGTTGTTCACGAAATTGAGAGAACGAAAAGCGAACGTCCGGCACTTTAACCGGGTTGGTGGACATGGAGAGTCCACCTAGGGGAAGTTGGAAAACCCTGATTCCAAACCAATGGTGCGCATGTGCTCCAGTATCCTGAGGGAACAAATGGCGTATGAACCAATCGTTGATCACCGGCTACCATGGGACCGCATCTCCTGACGTTGCTCCACTGCTTTGTGGTCCAGAACTTTGTTCGAAGGCTCCGGGTGTGGCTCCCTAAGAAAACCACCTGCTTCAGTTTGGGCACCCCGGAAGTATCACAGCCCTCACACAAATTGAATGATTTATGTGACGCATGTCTATTTGGTGCCTCCTTGTACCTTGATAACATCTATGTATCCTTTATATAAAAGCGAACGTGAAAGAATTCATCTTACTAAATCATTTATGATGTAAATATGAACTCATTCAAAGTTTAACTATTCGAATCTATATAGTAGGTTTAATACAACTTGAATTTCTCAATTTCATAAACATGTATACTAATTATTACTAAAATTTAATGAGTAATGATTTCAACAAACAATAAGAATATAAGATGAATCGCTAACAAACGACAAGTGTAATTATTAAAATAAATATTCAAGGATGAACTAATTACAAGGTTAACATAACTGTCCATAATAAACATCACCTTAACCATTGACAAATAAATAAAACCATATGAATGTTTGAATCATAGTCTTCACAATTGATTGATCACTGGGTGGTGATCAATGTCATGCTTGTCTAGTCCTTATTAGTGCAGATCGAATGCTATCGATCATGTTGCAATGTGGCCACCAGTCTAGGTGACTCGACACTGCGGGCACTATGTATTGAGATTTAGATGGTGGTTGAAGGTAGTCAACAGGAAACCTTGGACCTGGGTTTCGTGCTACTTGGCACTCGTCAGCAAGGTGTACCTGTAATCTTGAGGGAACTGGTGCTCCCTGGCGGATTCGATCTCGTGGCACCCAGCTCCTCAGTCAGAGACGTTACCACTGAGCTATCCGAGCCGTGACTAACGGCCTGTAGGACTGAGTCAGTCGTAACGTCTCTGACTGAGGAGCTAGGTGACACGAGATCGAATCCGCCAGGGAGCACCAGTTCCCTCAAGATTACAGGTACACCTTGCTGACGAGTGCCAAGTAGCACGAAAACCGAGTCCACGGTTTCCTGTTGACTACCTCCAACCACCATCTAAATCTCAGTATCATAGTCTTATTGTATGACACTTTATTGCCATTATTCATATATATAATTCCAACTCAGATGTCGAATATTTTTGTACTTTCTAAGTAACCTAAATGTTATCAATTCAATGCCCTATGAAGTTGTATGAATGTATAGTGGTAAACAGTTCCAAACTATCATAAGACAATAATGTTACGATGCTTCTCAGAGTATTTTAAATAGTACTATAGCTGATGTCAGTCGATGATGAAAAATAGACTTGGAAACATTGAACAATCTCCACAAGCATCTTATATGAATATTTTATATATATACTTTTAATGGTCAATATTAAATGCCACACCCACTGAAGATTGATTCTCCACAACAGATTTCTTATTCAGTTTATCTTTGAGTGCTTCGATGTTTTGTTTATCCTAAGAAAAGGGAGATTTAAAAATTATTAATAATATTTAATGATTACCAAACGTCGAAAGTATTCATCTTCTAAAGTGGCTTCCCTTTTACCTAGTGAACCACCAGCTTCACGAATAGAACCACCGGCACCACCTCCCTAAAACGGATGGAGAATTATATATATATCAGAAGAGGTTTTGTGGAAATTGTAGTAATTTCAATATTTGAAATCATGAGTCAGTTGAAGCTAGACCACCATGGAAAACCTGGAAGCACTGAACGGCCGTTTCGTCCTATTGTAGGACTCCTCAGCAGTGCTCATCCACAACCCCGCTTCGCGGGATTCTGTATCCTGTATCAAGAAAATATTATCCTGGTTTATATTTTGTTCTTAATAGATAATCAATTGTGAAGAACCAACTTACTTGATCTATCTAGTATATTATCAAGCATCAATTCGTATTATAGAGAATCAGAGAAATTCATCTCCGTTATATAATAGTGGTATGTTAAATGTTCATTTTGGTAGATCCTTGTAACACATAAACTTGTATCGCAAATCTGGTCATATAAAATAGAAGAGTATTTTCAAACATTTTTTTACTACTGACACAATATTTCTGACATTTAAACATTATGTCATCGAGTAATTTATTCCATCAGAACTGAAGTCAACATTGACCATTCTTTTTCTTCAATAGAAGAATACAGACTGATAAATCTATTATTGTCAAGGTGAAAAGTTAATGTTATTATTATTGGCAGGGTTCGTAAAGAAAATTATTTGAGAATTACCTTTCCTGCTCCACAACCAGGCTCTGATCCTTCAAACATAATTTGTATAGTGCTATAAACAAATAAAAAAAACTGTAAGTTAATAAGCAAGTTCTTTAATTAGATTGGTTAAATCAACAACATCAGACAGTAGCTGTTACCTAAATAAGGTGGTCAGAGTTATCAAAAACGACAACCTATCCGAACCCAATATCCTGCAATAGGAAGGTCAAGGGCGGATAGATAACACTAAACGAAACAACTTAAGATCTGAAAGCGAAGTTATACTGCTGACTGTAGTTAAGTATGAATAAAATGTTTTCCTCTCCAAAAACTAGCATCTGAAGTGATGCAAGCCTCTAACAAAGGGAATGAATTGGTTGGCAAGATTAACCCCCAAAAAAGCACACCTCATCTAGTCGCACAGATTCGCAGTAACGCTTTAAAAGTTAACTCATATGAAACTACTTACAAAAAAGCCTAGTGTCACGCTTCAAAGTCGGTAAAATCATAACTAATTCAGTTTCATTTACAGACAACTAACTGAAAAGGAAACTTCTGTCTGGGCAACGGGGAAGTGATAACTACAATCCTGCAACACTTATGGTAATCTTGTTGACGATCAAATTCATTCAACCTATCTCTGTTGTCCGATAGTTCCGTATTTTTCTCGATGTGCCAACAATGCAAACGATATAAATTCAGGAAATGTTATTTCTTGGTTTCTTGAAACCACGTTCAAATCTACACGTTGAGGTGTTTAGTGTTTGAAACGTGTTGTAAACTACACAATAGGCTTTATTAGCTAGGAGCCGTGCCGTTGACATTTGCTACATCTCCGGCACTCACATACAGAGTCCAAATGTGGAGGACCAGTGCGATTTACACTTTGCTTATCTCAAAACTTGACTGCTACTTGTCGTGAGTTCGCTGGCTTAATTATGGAATTAAGTTCTAAGCTAGGACAGGCTCTCCAGAACTGGACGTAGTGCTCCTGTATCGCCTGATAAATAACTACTGTGAGGACAAAGAAAAGGAACACGAGACTATCGCTTCGACATATCTGCCTACGCTCCCGTTAAAGAAAAAGATGAATTTTGTAGAAAGTTTACTTACATTCTTTGAAAGCCTAAACCCTTGAACTCAGTAACTGTGGCAACCGATTTTAATGACAAAGTTGGTAAGAAACTTCGGTGTTTACCATGACGACTCAAAAAACCAGTTTAATGGCGAATATAAATAGATTACATTTCCATCAACTAATATTGGAGAGGCTCTATAGGAAACTGACGCCCATTCTACAATATATGTCCAGATATTTGAAAACGCTCTAACCAAGCACCAGTTTTTCTGCATCATACTGGACTCAGAAAATACATGGTTACATCCCCTGAAGTTCAACTTAAAGATGAAAAATTTAGGCGAATTGCAACAGTAACTAATTAGTTAGTCATATAGCAGAGGAGATAATGGAATCACAAGAATTCATAATACGCTGTATCCCTACAAAATTCATGCTTTATTGAAATTATATATGATATGACATGATAGAAAGATAACATTATTTAGGCCATTATTTTCTGGTATCTATCTGGCATAAACTTTCTTCTATATGACAAATGTGAACTCTCGTTTAATGTAACAATTTTGTTCCGTATATTAATTCAGGTAAAACATATTTAGTGTTCTTCACAGTAATCCAATGTATCTCATAGTATTTCTTATTATGCGGTATATGTAAAATCTGACATATAAATGATTGCGTCGTGGGAATTGTAGTGATCCTCGTTCTCCTGTATAACCAGTAGGATTGAGTAATTGCAGTGGTTCCCGATTGTCAAGTAAAAGCAATTAGGCTGTAAACTCAATAGGGTTGATACGTACATAAGAGCGACGGCTCCTCAAATATAACAGTTGGTTATGCAGTTACAGTTACGAAGCCAATTTTCCTGGTTAACATTGGAGACTCCTGGGATGTAACAGTAAACAGTGAACCAAACCGACGAAATTGTTCTTTCTCTTTCTATTAATTTAGCTGAGTATCATGATTAACCTTCATATAATAAATGCTACTAATATCTTGTCAGCGAAATCCGATGTAAAGCCTCCCCGCGATGCTGCTGGTTAGTAGGGGCAACCGTGCTAGCTAACTTGGTCGGTCGGCGGTGATCGGACTAATCCACCACTGTTGTAAACGGAATTAACTGGGTTCCGTTCTCAGGGCTCTCCAGAAATCTGGCCGGCTACCCGATGTGTATGCTTATGCATATGAATTGCATGAGTTTTGGCTTTAGTGGTTTATGTAGATATGTATAAGCAAAACGTACACGTGTGGGTTAGCGCAAGGAACGTACGCTGAAAAATTTCTGCCCTACGTCCAATGGAATCAGTGGACTGATCTTTCAGGTCGAAGACAATAAAAAAATATATGATAGAAAATACTAGGAAGAGTTGAACATCAACCTTCCCTGAAACAGTGCTTATGTCCAGGTGTATTTTGAGATGGTGAAGATTTGCAGCTCAGATGTGCTCCTGAACATCATCAGGTAAAAGTGAAGTATTCGAATTTCACCACATATGATTCACAGCTTTTCCTGTCGACCTCGATCTTCATTGGTTATTGTTTACCTTTAAGCTGTCATTATTTACCTCTCTATTTGTATGAAATCTTCATTTGATCTGATTATTGGTCCTATATTTGTCCATGACTTTTCCGATTGGTCGGTAGATTGGATCAGTTTCGATGTTTGTTTGTTTGGTTGGTGATTAACATCAGTGCCAAGCCTCTGAAAATTTTCAGATGTTTTTAATATTTCTTTTATGCAAGCTCTAAACATATTTCCAATCAAATGTGTGTCCATAGTATCTAAAATATAGACTATACCAATTGCAAAAAGCACTGCGCTGGACAAAGTGAACGCCCCTTTCGTCGTTGTCTGCATGGACATCAATTAGCGGTCAAACGCCATGACGTCTTCGCTTATATCAGTGCATGTAGACAAATAGATTCAGTCATCGTCCAAACCATTAAGTAAACTTTCCACATAAGTCCTTAACACAATAAATATATAAATGAATGAACAACCGAAAACATATCACATGCATTATACAGTAGTAGTGATAATGAGAAGACAAAGTCTATCTATTAAAGTACATTGTATTGTATGCAATAAATTTCAGTAAATTTAATCATATACTTTTGGACAATAAATTAAAAAAAAGCACTTCACAGTAGTATTGCTATGATTCTTTCTACTTGTATCAGAGATTGCCCTAAGAAAACTGGTTATTGTTTGTTCATTTATGAATGAGTTCGTAACAGCTGTTTCCTTTAGTAACTATTGAGAATTTTAATCCGAGGAATTGCTTAATCACATAGGCACAAGTATCCATCCTTCAGTAACACACATCTATATGTTATTCGTTATGGGGGATTTGTGGATATTGTTAAATTTTATATTTTACATCACGGAATGATCATAGCTAGTAAACCAGTGGACACAAGACAGATATTTAGTTCCTGTGTGGGATTCCATAGCAATGCTTCCTAGTTTTTAATAGTCAATTCATGATGTTAACCTTAAAATTCAACAATCTCTACCAAACCCTTTATAATAAATAATAATTATGTGACTACTAATGACTAGATTCGAGAATCCCCGAGGTTCTAGTATTAAGCTGTAATCAACAGAGTTTAAACAAGTCGAATAAACAACATTCACTCCAGAAAAGCATCAAAAGATGGTTGCACAATACCACAAATTTGTCGTAGACACGTAAAAAATCATACGCCGAATTATTAGTTCGCAAACCAAATATTTGCCGAAGATATGAAGGTCACGAATCCGAACTCTGATGGGGTCATGAATGAGTATTTTTTCAGAAGTCTCATACTGGGAAAAGTTCATGATGTAGGATTTTCGATGTCCACTGTCACTGAAAAGTTCCATAATAGGACGAAATGGCCTTCCAGTGCTTTCAGGTTTCTAATGGTTTTATACTTAAGATGTGTTCGCGGTTTGAACTGTGAAAATTCTACAATTTCAAAAAATCCCCTACACAAATTATAAATACTATGAAAATCCAATCCCGTTGTCTTCCCACTAAAAATCGCTACATTAAGTGGGAAGTACAAAGTGAAAATCAATATATACCCTAAAATATGACCCAGTTACCTTCATCGGAACAATACAAACAAATATTGTCTCCCCTCCTCTCTGTTATGGTTTTTGTTAACCCAGACTTAAGGTTAAATGGATTAATGTAACACTCAACAAGCTCATTATCTTCGCTTAGTTTTTAAATAAACTAGCCAAAATTACTTGACATTAAGGCTTATCATGTAATGGTTGTTTGAATCTTTCCATTGGAGCTTAGGACTGCAATTGATCAATCTCTTATTAACCATCAACTTAGCTACTGAGTCCAAATAGCCACTAATTTGTGTAATATGGTGAAGTTTAACTCATTTTATTTTGGTTATTTGAACTAAGGCTTATTATTAATCAGCAATACAGTCCATAATCCTTAATTACAGAAAAAAAGTGTGTCCCGATGTATCACTAAGCACCATATATAAGAAATATGGTTCATTGACTAAACTTACTATGAATTAATAATACAACATTGTTCATACTGAACATTTAGATAAATTAAACATTGACCTAAAACAAAACTTGAGTTTTACACCTGTTCTCATTCATCATTTAGATGTATATCTTACATTATACTCAATGAAATTTAAAGATTCATTATCTAGTCAGTGATATTAAGGTTATTTTACTCATATTATTACATCTCCACATCGAGGTTATATTAAGTCGTATCACCATAATTTCAATGGTTTTTTAATATAATTAACAAATTAGTTTTCTTATGTTACTCAGTCAGTCAGCTACAACGTAGCACAGGGCATATATATGCATCGGTCCAAGTTACCATATCTCATTAGCACAACAAGATGAACACCGAATTCATAGAAGTAGTCACTTCAATAGTAATGTATAAAAGAAAGATTGTGTATAAGTATGGTAGAAAGAAAGATATAGAGCAATTTTAATCCGATAGTTTAAGGGAGCACAAACGATGTATACACCGACGCCATGGTGGTCGATTCTGAGCCATGTCACCAAGAGTCTCCAACCATTGGCTACGATAGTCTCACCGGAACCCAACCAAGTAGTATGCATCTACCAACATGGCTCAGATCAGAAGTTATTGACTTCACGCACTGATGCCACGTTTTAGTTTGGCCGACCCTAATTTTCTTCCAACCATTCCCAACGCTAGTCAGTATTGCGCGTCGTGGTAATCGATGTTCAGGCATACGTAACACGTGGCCCAACCATCTCAGTCGATGAAGATTCACAACCTCATTAACTGATTTAGCATCATTCCCTAATACCCTGCGTCTAACCTCACTATTCCAGCAGATGCGAGCAATATTTCTAAGTCATCTGTGTTCAAATACTAGTAGCTTACGAGTATCTTCTAACCTTAATGACCACGTTTCGCAGCCATAAAGTAGAACAAAACGAACTGCCGCGCAGAATTCTATATTACTTAGAATTCTGCATGTATAATTACATTTACTTAATAGAAAGTTTCGTCAAAGGTGGGAAGTTATTTCGAAAACACTAATATGACACAATATCCGAAAACTGTTATTCTTTCTCCATTGCCAATCATTTCAGGCGTATAAATGACAAAGACTAGTTTGCAACCTAAACGTTCCTCTTCACGAATGTACCGTTAACAAAGACGGTGGATTTCCTTTGTGACTATATTTCTAAAAACTTTCCCCTTTTTCCTATTCCGTTACCATTTTTGAAAGAATTACTTTTATTATGTACAGCTAATGTTCAATTTACGTTTGATGGTGAATATTTTCGACAAGTTGATGGTGTAGCTATGGGTAGCCCTTTGGGGCCTCTCTTAGCTGAGGTATTCATGTCATATGTGGAAAATATGACGAGCGACCTTATTAGTGAGACAACTCTATATAGAAGATATATGGACGATATCCTAATTATATGTGATAAAGATTTTGATGTTTACCGATTATTGGATTAACTCAATGGTGTTCAAAACGATATTGTGATGACACATGAATCAGAAAGTAACGGCCAATTAGCCTTTCTAGACATACTTTTAAGTCGAAGGGATGATGGCACTATTAGACGGTCCGTGTATAGGAAACCAACTTGGACGGGACAATACTTAAATTTCCATAGTTTCTGTCCATTGCAATACAAGAGAGATCTGGTTAAGTGCCTCTTTAAGAGGACTCGAAGGGTAAACATTTATTGCACGGCCATTTTTGTATTTTTTTTCGAGTGAAATTTTTTTTCATCCCCATCTTCCAATAATTTTCATTCTGTTTCGTCCAATCAAATAACTAGTTTTGAGTTCGTTATAATTGGTCGTTTATTTCATAAAATCGATATAAAATATGAGGATTTGACGGCAGAGCACATTTCCCTACAATTATGGGTGGTAGTAACATGCGGAGCGCGAGCTCCGTCGTTCCTCATGTTGTCACAGAAACCGATAACCTGTTCGTTCTTGAGCACATTGTATCTCGTAACGTCTCAATCACTTGACGAGCTCCATAAAAACTTATGAAACAGCTGCGTACTGCCATTATGTGGTGAGGGATTCTCATTTACATAGAGATCGGAAGCCGTATATTAGATTCGTATGTTGGAGAAATGGTCGTAGAACATAAATAAATGTTTACCCAAATGATCCGATTAATGTAGGAGGTAGAAAACCAAGTTCATCGATAGCAAAACACATAATTGAGACGGGGAACAAAATTAACATTAATACAGCATTTAGAACGTTGTATAGAAATTGTCAAGGTCGAATCCTTAAGTTTATTGAAGCCTTAGCTATTCGTAAATTTAAATCCCCCTTATGTGTACAAAAACAATTTGTCGTAACCTTGAATTTACCTTGGTAATCCTTAAGTCATTCTATGGCCTAGGATAACACGACAATTTCTTATTCTTTCTCTCCCCTTAGTTACTTTAATTGTACTTTTATTTGTTTGACCTTTATTAATTTTCATATAAAAATGCCTTGACAAGTATATGTGTGACCAGAATGTTCGAAATATATAGCGCAAATACATTACATTTTTCAGATCAACTCCGTCTTCTCATTGTTCTGTCGAAACCTAAACATTAATTGATAGAAAAAATGAGTAAATGTATCAATCATGTCAAGGGGATTTAGTCATTCTATGCTATACACTGATCCTTAAAACAAAGAATAAAAAGATAGAATAGATACTGGTAATTTATATCTGTTTTGGAAATAAAATACTTTCTAAAATCTTGACGGGAATTAACCAATAAAAGTTGTGTTAGATCTGACACGCCGAAAAACTTGAAATCTTAGGGTCTGCATACCAAAGGAACCGATGGTTAGAGACATTGAATGACATGACTCAAAATCGTTTACAATGGCGCAGATGCATCTCGTCTTTGTGTTCTCACAAATTCTAACCTTCTGAATACTCCATGTCCCTTTTTTTCTCTTTCCAAATCTATTTCACTGGATTCTACTCCTTGAACAACATCTTCAAACTCTCATCTTTCCGATTACTGCTTATACCCTTACTATATCTACCACTAGTGGATTTGAATAGACAACTGCATCTCAGTGCTAATGTGGTATGGCAACTCGAACTGATGTACGTACGTACAAAGTTCTACGTTGTTACTGACTGACTGACGGAATAAGTTTCCCTCTTTATCTTTTTATTTTATTATGAAATAGGTTAGAAAATGATTGAATGATACAGAGAACTTATGCTGTTAACATTTTCGATTGCAATTTCGTGCTTTGTTTTTTCTGGGATCACATAGGGATCATTTTTGCTTTTTCTTTTGATATAAATAACACTACAACTTATTAATCGAACCGATTAGTTAAAGGTGACTGAAATTATACCTGATAGAATAGATAGAAAAAAGTATTAAAGATTATTCAGTAATTTATCATCATTCGACTTTTAAGTACAGAAATCTGTTGGATATGTGAAAATCTACATATACACAGATACATATCATGCTAATTGGAATTTCAGTCTATAATATCTAATACAAGTCGATGAAAATGGTTGATCCTGTCAACTAATGCTTCTTTTCAAGATCAGCCAGTAATTTTTTCCGTTTTTTGAGTGATTCCTAAAGGAAATATAAAAAAAAATGTAGAAGTTTCACATCACTGAGAAAAGTCCATCGCAATAATATCGAACAAAAGGAACACCAACTAACAATATGGAATAGTTTTTAAATTCAGTGGAGGAAGAACTAGTAAAAGTATAGAATAAGGAGAGACGAGCCAATTACGGTCGAGGATTTTCGGGTTTCAAGTCTTCGCCAGCACTGATCGGATAATAAATAGCCAGCCAGCGTGCCCCATCACAATCCAATCTAGCAGATTCATAATATCTGGTATTAGAGTCCCGCTAAGACCGCGAGAGTGGTCTGTGCTTTCGATTTATCCACCTTCTAGGCAATAATGAAGTGGTATCACTCTTTGCTGGCACAGAGACTGACCTATCTGTTCCAGGGTTTTTGATTTGAAAGGTGTCCACCAGAACATCAAGAGGTATTCTATGTCTGGTCTTGTTGCTGGTGTTAGAAGTTGCTTTCAGTTGGTAAGCATGACATACCCAAACTTCTGATCCAACTGACGCCTCGTAAACCACACTTGCATTCATTTCACGATTCGGCAAGCTATCCATGTAGGATGTTTGCTATGATAGTCTATAGTAAGTACTTTTTGATCCACCGTAAACAATCGCCTTTGTACCCCATGATGTTCCTAAAATCTTTTCGGTCGTCCCTCCCTTTTTGATTTTTGAAGAGCAACAAAGCCTTCTACCTGGCCATTGGATCGGGGATGGAATGGAGGTTTTCGGGCATGACTGATTTCATTTCACTGACAAAATTCTGAGAAGGTCGCAGACGTAACCTGTGTTCGATTGTTGTTAACTACTAATTCTGGGACCCCGAAACGACTAAACAGTTGCCGTAGTTTTCTGGCTGTGCAGCTTACAGTTGGATGTTCAATGATAAAAGTTTCTGGCCACTTGCTGTATGCATCAACTACTAGAAGGTAAGTTTGTTCATGAAGTAGACCAGCAAAGTCCAAAGGTATACGCTACCACGGTGACTGTGGCGATGGCCGTGATTGCAGCTCCGCTTTCCGTGATACTTTTGTTTTGAATGCATACTTGGTACACGAACAGGATAGCTGCTCCAGTTGAATGTCTAAATGCAGCCAGTATACATGACTTAGTGCTAGTGCTTTCATGAGATTTATTCCAGAATGTCCCGCGCGTAACTCTTCAAACATTGTTGGTAGCAGCTTCTTTGAGATTATGACACGTTTGGCAAACGGAACGTAGTCGCTTATGATTGAGGGAGATAGTCCGCGCTGATAAAACTCCTGAAGCTCTGTGAAGCTGGTTTTCGAGGGCCACCCTTCTAGGTGGAACTTTTTAACTTGTAAAACTGGGTCTTGAAGAGTTTCTTCTCTGACTTCCTCTGATGACACTCGAGCGTGACGAATGGCATCTGCTATTATACACCTAATTTCTGAATCTACTATTATGGAGGCAAATTTTATTTTTAGCTTTTCTAGAAACCTTTCACCTGTCTTTTCTGCAAGTATCAGGGTGTCCAATGATGAGCACGACAAGTTGCAGATACTGTTAATAGGTATATCCATTATTCCAAGTTTTTCTAGTATATCTAGATCAAGAAGATCAAAGTTCGGCTGTTCTGTTAGATAGCATATTCCTTCATAGTTAGTTCAAATGAAGGAAAATTCACACTGTAATTCGTCAACCAGTTTTAGCACTCCTCTTGATGAGCTTTTAGCGGTCTTCTTAGACGGCTTCATTGACGGTTTCCCAAGCAGGTTATACGTTTCTCTAGACACTAGGATGGTACCGGATGCTGTGTCAATTTGAAGACGCGCCCCAACATAATCCTGTATGGAATATGCTTTGATCTAATCTGCATGCCAACAGTGTAGTACCAAGCATTTCAGTGAGTAAATTTTGTATATCACAGAATAATCTTTACTGGATATTTTATTTCATGATGCACTTTTCAATTTATTTGCTTTTTATCCGGTATGCTGAAATTAACCACAGTACAGTGTTTGTAGAAGAGACATGTGGATGGCTTCAAATGATTGAGATGGAATCTTCTAGAGAAAACTATGCTCTTATATGCACATACTTACTTATTAAATCAACAAAAAAAGTCTCGAAAATGCTAGATACCACACTTCTATTGAATATTCAGAACAGATTGATGACTTTACACGTACATTTTTGCCGAATGAATTGAAGTAATACAACAGGATAATGAAGTTTATCAAGACCATCTATATATGATATCAGATTACCTCAATATATTTTAAATAACTATCTGATTACAAATATTTACTTTGTTAAGACATTGATTTATGAGAAGTAAATGTCATATTAAGCAAATTGGAATATAGAAATAATAGGGAAAGACAGTATAAATTGTACCACTTATGAAAAATAAATCAATATTACTAGGGTAGGTTAAAGGGTAAGGACAAATAGTTTTTGAATACACAGGGAAGATTTGAACTTTCATATGACTAAGCCAACGTTTCACAGCAAATCTAAGTATTTGGCTCAAAACACCTTTTACATAAAGCTACAAAGATTAAATTGAGATCGAGCTTATAACCTAATTCAACTGTATATTTAGTAGTGGAAGAATATATTCTTTTACTGATCAAACTCGAAATGGGATGATAACCAATTGTTCATTGATGCAAATCTTACTGCATCATATATATACTGTTATATTTCCTGCGCATCGACAGCCTTTAGGTTCAGTCAGTCAGTTATAATGAAACGTAGAACCTAACATATATATGTACCAGTTAAAGTTGGTTAGACATATCAAAAGTTCGATGAAATTATAAAGATAAATAATAGGGTAGTAGTCGAAAAGGTTAGGTGTAGTAAAAAAAATGAACAAAAAGGTATGAAATTCCAAGGTTCAAGAACCATGGAAAGATAAAGCGTAAATGCGCCTGGGCTAGTGTGGATGACTCGCGGTGACTCCAACCAGGTAGTTCACACCTATCAGCATGGCTCAAACCAACTATCAATGACTTTATGAACTAATACTATGCATATCCTAACTTGGCCACCCCAAACTTTCTTCCAACCTATTCCTACACCAGAAAACATGTTGCTTCGGAATAGGGGGTAGTTGGGGATACTTGACACATATCTAAAAACTTACAACTTCATCAACCCATATGCCATCTTTACCTAGTACCCAGAATCAAAGTCTGATATGATATATATCATTTAACAAGTACAGGTTTATGTACTCCGCTTTGAGTCACATTGTTTATGAGCGGTAGTGACAGCAATCGGTTACACAGAATTGAATTCAGTCTTGCGCTATTGGAACTGACTACCTGAAGAGTTAGGGCTACATGGTTTAACTACGAAGCTACTGGTTCTGGAAAAAGACCTGGGTTACCGCCAATTAACAATTAAGCAGAAATATGATTTATTTCAATAGGCATATCTCATCTTATTCACAATCGGATGAGTTTCAAAAAGTCTGAATTATTAATTTAAATATTTCTATTCGATTAGATGAATTTTGTCAAAAAACTACGTAACTATTGAGAAATATGAAAATCCTAAGTCTGACTCCAGTGAACAGTTGTAAGTGAACAATGTCAAATATCCATACTCCTTCTATGGTTTCACAACTTAATATCAAATAGTGATCAAAATTATCTGTGATATGAAATTACCCTTAAATGATCTTTTAACTCTTATGGAACAATTCGTCGAATGAGAATCAATACTACTGCTATTTATCTCGGTATTTTCATCTCATTGTGCTAATACAGTATGGCACCTTGGATAGGCACATATCTGCGTACTAGACTCGATATAGATAACAACTGACTGTATGAAGGTTGTACTTTACAATTTTCCTAAGCAATGTAAACACCGTTCAAGATCGATACATAAATAAAGTCTAGATAGATAAAGTGTTTTCTTCAAATGTGTTGCAAGATCGATAAGTATGATAACATATACCTGAATACACATAGAAGTAAGGTTGTATGGCGAACACATAAACAGTAAGTTATTGATTAATTACATACATAGAGGTCACAAAGTATGGTCCATTATTTAAAAAAGCAGAATTTACCAACTAACTTAGACAACGAGGTAAAATAAGAAGCGTAATAGTTTCATCAATTAATAATGCAAGACAAAAATTTGAAATCAACAGATTAGTCAACTTCAGTACATATATTGTTTGGAGAGATAGTGGTTGTGCCAGAATCTCCACGACCAAAGTGTTGAAGCAATTTCTTATTGATCATCCTGGAGTAAAACTAATGAAGTTCATGGCTCGAAGTTTCTCATGGACCAGTACATCATGAAGTTAGTAAGTGAATACACAGTATCAACAAGCGACGAAATTTAACGCTAAAGTGCCCCGGTTTTATGGCCACAGCCTGAATATCCCTGGTCCACGATACATATCGACTTTACTGGCCCAATCAATGGGACTACTTATTTAGTTGTAGTCGATGTGTTTTTGAAATGGTCAGAAGTCCTCTCCATCGTGCCACCAACGACGATCAAAACACCACAGCTGTTGACGGAGATCTACCGGGACAGATCACCTGATGTAATTGTATCAGATAGCGGTTGGCAGTTCATTTCCAGCCAGTTCCAGGAATTCTGCCGACGGCTAGTCACCAAATATTTCCGCTCTTCTCCTTACCATCCAGTCGAATGGCCAAGCAGAAAGGTTTGTAGACACGTTTAAGAGGGCCCGACTTAAGTCAAAAGGGGAGGGATGCCAGTCGAAATACCACAGAACTTCTTACTTGTTTATCGAACGACACCCAGTGATACGTTATCGGAGCAAAGTCCCCAGCAGAGACCCTCATGGGAAAAAGACTGAGGACGATCCACAATCTGGTACTTCCGAAAACTACACCAGGAGCTGCCGACGTAAGAGGCAGGATGTCCGGTATTTGCTCGGGACTACATACCAAACCACGGTCCCTGGACTGAAGCACGTGTGATCAGAAGGCTGGGCCAAGTCATGTAAAAAGTTGAGGTAGGAAGAGACAGGTGGATTCGACACCGAAACTAGCTACGGAAACGGCTAGCCCTAGATTGCCCGTCGAGAAACACAAATCTCCAGCTCCAAGTTCTGTTAGATACCTTCAACATTCCTGAAGTCCCCACGCAAGAAGTACAACAAAAAATCAACCTACGTTCTAAAAGGTGGTCACTTCGAAAACGGCGGCAAACGGTCAAGATGCAAGTGAACGCCAAGAACATACGCTATTAAAAAGCGGAGGTGTTGGGGATGCTAGATACTCAAAAGTCACTTGGTAAACGTCCTATTTTGGAAATTTGAATTTCTCATTTTCGCGCCATAAGCACCCATTTTTACCTTCAGATTCTATTTACTACTTGGAAGGACCCTAAATGCAATTGGTTTGTTTCCTCCTTTAATACTCCATTTTGTGACGTTTCCTAAAGACATATTTATAATGTATATATACGCTTTAGTCGTGTGCTTGTTTGTCCGTGCTTTTGGCTGCTCGTGGAAAATACTTTTCCCTCCATTGAATGTGGTCCTCCCCTCTTGTTAGCAGGGCTGGGGAGTATTGGAATAGTTTAGCTTGACCTATTGTTGTATTGCTGACCGTTCTGTTCACAGGTTTAGGTGATATTGTAATCTCTTCAACACAGCGAGGTTATCGATAACTCATGTGTCATTCTTCTAGGTTCTATATATGCATAATTTTATGAAGGTTGTAAATGGTTAGTCGGTCATAACCAACGCAGAGCTTAACTCGACGCACCAGATTAGTACAATGATATAAAATCAACAAGTTGAATGGGAAAGAGTCGGAATAATAATAATAATAATAATAATAATAATAATAATAATAATAATAATAACGATAGTCAAACTAAACACTGAGGATACTGTTTGAAAAAAAAACTGAATGAAAAAGTATGGATGCAGAAATACTGAAACTTAATATCCAGATGAAGATAAAGATTGGATACTTATGAACTACTTTCATTTATGCTGAGTTATGTTACCGAACGTCTCTAACTACTGATAACGCAAAATACAACAAGGTGGTTTGGATCCGCCAATATAGTCTAGTTCAACAGTCAATGCTTTAATAGACTGAAACTACATTTTGGTTTGGCCAGCACAAACTTTCTTCCAACCTACATCTACTCCACCTATCAAATCAGTGATGAGGTAGGCAATATACGGGTCATAGATAACACATCGCGAAAACTTCAATAGATAAAGATTCCCGATCTCGTTAACTGAGTTGTCATAGAATTCGAAGAATGTCTCGAAGATCGGAGGATAGTAATTTGTGAATCTCTAATGAATTCATAAACACAGCTTAAATGGTTATTCCAGCTTGTTACAATACAGTAGCTTGAATAAAAGTAACATTACAGTCGAAAAACTTACTTCAAGTCGTTTGATCTCCTTCTTTTCACGTTCATGTTCCTCTTCTAAATGCTTCTTTAATTCATGTAACTGTTGTTGTTGCTAAAACAACAAAAAAAATAATTCACAACTTTATAAAAAGTTACTTTAATAGAGCGTAAACAGAGTTTATGGGTACGAAGAATCCATTTACGGAAGTTGGTAAACTGATTCCAAACCAATGGTAGCATGGGGACCAGGATCATTAGGGAATAAATAGCGTATAAACTAATCGTTGGTCACTAAGTACCATGGGTCTGCATTTCCTGACGGTGCTCCACTACCTTGTGGACTAGATCTATAGGCCAAAGGCTCGGGTTGTAACCCTCTAAGAAAACAACCTGCTTTGGTTAGTGCAGCCAGGCCCTATCCAAGCCCTCACACAGATTTTGTTTATCGCATATATATTTTGGTGCCCCTTTCTACCAAAATTTATGTGTTTGAATAAATAAATACTCTTAAGTAGTCTCACATATCGTGATCGAATCACAACAGTTTTGTATCTATATTTACAACACAACGCATCTGGACCAAGCTATATATATATATAATCAGTAGGTACCATCTTACATCATCTAATTAATTAATTTGATATCCATAAGTTAAAAAATATAGTTCCTGGAATAAGTATGTACCGGTGCAAGTTGTCTCATTTTTGATATCCATGTAATAACAGAAGGAATTAACAAAATAAAGAGTAGCTGACCTCTTGACATGTTGGTATGGACTGGATATCATGATGACCCAATAAAGCTATTTCAGCAGGGGAACTTATTCCTTTGGGTTCTACCATGCTACGAAGGCCATTTGGAGAGCAGTAAGACTAAGACACCAAAAGCTTCTCCGGAAAAGGCAGTATGTGACGAGTCTCAAGCAGTTGACCTTTGCAGTCTGGGGTTCGCTCCCAGATCTTTAAGATCACTAACAATTTAGCTTTGCTCTTAGGTTCTGAAGAATTATCCTCCCACGATGTGATGACCGCAAAGTAACAAGGGCTCACATAGGAAACCAGATCACTAGCTGTAGTTAAAAGCCAAACATGAGAAGTGTGGTTGAAAAAAAGGAAGGATAAAGAGTATGAAATGACTAGCAATAGTGATATATAATATATATATATTGATGACATAATTGTTTACCAATTTATAGAAGTATTCTTCCTCATTACGTGCTTCTAATTTGCCGAACGCCCCACCAGCATCCCGAATAGAACCACCAGTACCACCACCCTTGATAAGAGAAAATTAGTAAACATATATTAATACATAAAATCCATACTCAGTAAGATAAGTGGATGTCATTATCATATCTAAATAACGATTCTATCTAAATAAACATAATTTTCGGAAAAATTATTTGATTGCATACAAAAATAATGTATCGCACGATAAGTTATTGTCTTTCAGTTGTTGTCAAACATCCTATAGAACCATAATAGGAATAAATAAATCCTAGCTAATCAATACAGTGTAAATGTGTTACTACTTGAAAGTTAACCCATATTTAATGTAATATGAGAAGAATAGTGTAACTTTATAAACTATTTCTTATTGATAACCTTTACCACTCATGTTAGTATATGATGATGGTTACAAATTGTTAATTAGTAGGAAAATACGATCAGATAATTAAAATGATGAGTTATTGATCACAAATTTAATCAGCCAACTTAGAGCCTGGCATAGAAGTGAGTTGTGTTAAGTCACTGTAGCAGATTGGCGCAGTGAGACGAAATGAACAATATGAATACAAAAACAAAGAGAAATAGTGTAGGAGCAGTAGTCATGAGAAAGACTGTAAATTGAGAATATGATTAAAAAAAGACCGGGTGAAAGTGTATATGAAGGAATGCTGGGGTTGAAGATCTAGAAGGAGATAAAGAGAGGACGCACTTGCACCATGGACTATTCTTAGTTGTCTCATCTAGTCTCCAACTAGGTAGTCTGCATATACTAACATGGTTCAGAACAACAGCCAGTGCCTTCATAGAATGATGCTACATCTTCGCTTGACTACCCGTAGATACTTTCCAACCTACTTTTGCACCAAAAAGCATCGTTCACTGAGGTAGATGGTGATTAGGCATACGTAACACATGCTCTAACCAACTCATCTGATAGAGATTCAAAACCTAATCAACTGACTTGCCACTTTTGCCAGGTACCTTGAGCCTAGGACTCAACACACTGCCCACTTAGTTGTTCCACAAAACGAGAATAATACTTCGAAGGCACTTATAATCAAAAACCTTTTGTGAGGTAAGTTGACAAACGTTAATCGGACTTTCTGCATAAGTATACCATTTTTTATCAGACACCTACTCACAAGGGCTGATAAAACTTTCAGGATACATGAGGTTGGGTATGAATACAAGGATGTCGACATAAACTGGTTAATAAGTTCAAGAATTCATTATTCACTATTTTATACAATGATTATAGATAACCAGTGTTCACAAACCATAAGTAATTTAGACGCAAAATATGTAAATTTAATTCATTCAATATCACAAACCGACTCTAGTAGATTTTATTGTGGAGTACATCAGATAAGCCGAAAAGAAAACTTATTATTTAAAAATCATAACTACAATGTTTAACCATGAATTCAGAATATGTATATACCTCCAACGACTGAATTTATGCAACAATTACACGTTAACAACCAGTCAATGGCTTATGAAGTAATGTATAAAGAATAGATTAGAAACAGAATATTATAATATGAGACATGGATAACCATACTTTATGAATTATACAATAGTCTTTCTATAAACAATTATCGTATCAAAACTATTCCTGAATCATATTTACAGGTTCGTTTACGTGATACGTGTCGATCTGGTGTTATTTATTTTTCAAATGTAACACAGTTGTCACATTTTCGAAAAAGTAGAAGCATGTTAGGCTGAAAACATTTTCAAAATGATGGAGAAGATTTGTAGCTCAAATGGATGTTTACATCACCTAACAGTAAGATTTCATGATGTTATCGCTCAGTACAACAATGAAAACCACGCTAATAAACTATGCAAACTACAGAACACAAAATAACAAAAATTCACATAATCATGTGACCATAAGTTGTTTAATTTCCGAGCCTAACTGGCTTAGTTGATGATTACCTATCTAACTGAATCAATGTTTTCGAATTTCGTTAATTACAAGAATAAAATAGAAAAGTTATAACCCAATTGATTGTGTGTAGACTTAGAAAACAGAAAAAGAAGGGTATATAAAGCACAGAGATTATAAATAAAAGGGTTATACAACGAAAATGATCAGAAATTAATGTGACGCATGTAATCTAGCCAAAATTCCTTCTATCTTGCAGTCGCTTAAATTAAACTACGTGATTGCAATCACAGAAATATGGTATATCAAATCAACTGCAAAACATTTACCCCATGAAATAACCTTAGACAATTGTCGACCTGCAATCTTTTCTCCATATAAACTGAAATTGGTTGGTGTAGTGTACACACGATAAATATGCATGGTCCCAATGTTTTTTACATGCTGACTTTTACTGTAGTAATAAAACTGAACATTCTAGATATATCATCTTATTAACAACAATTATAACTTTCAGTGACTAACAATAAAGTCCATGATTTTTCCTTTCTCTCACTAGGGAATTAACAACTAAAGTGACCAAAATTCTAGTATTGATTTTAGTGATAAGTAGTATGTTGTTTATTGATACAAATAACCTAAAATTAAACAAGTAACGGCCTAATTATAAAATAGTCAACAAGTAATTGTTTTAAACGAGAAACGATCAAGGATGAGTTGTCGTTACTTTGAACCCCTTACATGGTGTTGAAAAAAATAAATGTTGTTTGATCCTGCCTGGTTTACATAATAACTAGCATAATGTACAATCCATGGTCGAGTAAGTACAATTCAGTGACTTCACTTGGTGAGGGTGCTTACGGAAATGAAACGACAAAAAGCGAACGTATGGTGCTTAAACGAACTTGGTGGATACGGAGGACTCAACTGGAGGATTCGGGAAACATCGACTACAAAGCATTGGTGTATATGAGATCCTATGATCTTGAGGAAATGAATGTTGTAAGAGCATATTTGAGTCACCATCTACTTAGGTATCTAAAATTGCTCTACTGACTTGTGGAGTGGTCTTCTAGGGAAACCACCCACCTCGGTTTGACCTCTTGGCAGTATTCCAATCAGTACACAAATATGATTTGAGTGGCGCATACTTTTAGTATCCGATTGTACCAAGTTAAATTAAACCAAGAAATAAAGTTAGGGAAGTTTGAGCATCCTCAGACGTCCATGCAGATACATGAAACAAACGTATTTGAAAGACACTGACGTCGTATAGTATTACTTAACTGTGATCATATCAAGTTTACATTTAAAATTTAATACAAAGCTGTTATATTGGTTATCATCGGATAATCGATTAGTTGTAACGTGATTGTATATTCAATATTGGTGAAATCTGAATCCGTATGATGCCTCAACCACTGAACTTAATGTTAAAAAAACAACGAATAGCTAACAGCAGTACCAAATTATTAAAGATAACCACTTAATTTATGTGAATCAACAGTACAGTCGATTGTCATCACTATCCCCTACTATTTAACTCTTAGGTTCTATCTAATACAATACACTGGCTACTTTAAACATGCTACCGAAAACAATATATTACAACTCCAATTCACATAATCTTTTACTTCGCTTTGAGCTATACTTCACGTACAAGGGCTAGCGATACCATCCAGATGTTCAACCCTAAGCAGATGAGACGGGGTTTCGAAACTCAAACGTAGCGGCTGAAAGTCGAACATTAGATAGACACTATAAACTGAATACTATTAATTGTAGAACTTGAAAAGAGACTGGTAATGTGTAGTTCTCTAAAGCAAAGTAACTTTGTGGCTGAATGAAAAACGGTTTAAACTAGGCTATACCAATCTAATATCTTCTATCACAAAAACTATGGGAAATAAGCAGCTGTCCAATGAGCTTGATGCAATTCCATTATCAAGTACAGGTTTATGCAATATTCTTTTGGTCACACTTGTTTTATGGGGTCTAATAATATTGCCCAGTCAGTCAGTCATAACCAGCATACAACCTGGGATAACTATATTCGTTAGCTCAAGTTCACTTACTACATTATCATGACGAAACAAATAATAAAGGAATCAAAATAATGTAGTAGCAATTACGTTGACAATGACTGGACGTTAACACTATAATTAGAAAAGACAGTGAGAAGGTATGTACAAAAGAATAGTGGAAATGAAGATAGAGAGGAAGGTAAAAAAGTAAAAGCACCTGAGCCATCTTGAGCCACATCAATCAAAATCTGTAGCCACTAAACGGGATTATCGTATGGACCTCAACCATGTCATCTGCTTTTATACATAAGCGGCTCAGACCAACAATAAAGGAATATAGGAACAATCAGTATGGGGGTTGTAGAGGCTGTTGAATTTTGAGATAACAAACCGATCTGTTAAACAACCATCGAAAAACTGGGAGGACTATACAGCTGTTTCGTCCTAGCACGGGGATCCTCAGCAGATCTGGGGACCAAACTCAAAACCTTCGGTCCCGAACATATGCTGATGAACATGAACTGATGTATTTTTGGCTTGGCCAACCCTATCTTTCTTTCAATCTGTTCACAGACCGGCTAAAATTGCTCGTCGAAGTAGGGGGTAGTGGTCAGATAAACATTGTCCAAAATAAGGTTAGACTGGCTTAAAGGAGATTATATAATGAAGAATATGGACATATCAACTAAATATGCAGAAATGCATATAAAACATTTTAATAAACATGTATTATAATTTTCAAAAGATGAGGACAAATTTTAAGTAGTCAAGATAAAAAAATGGACATACACTAGTAGATAACAAGTAACAATTTTATATTGATTAATGATTTACAAAAGCATTAACCACTACTGAAGTTATAAATAAACTAATTCACACAAAAAAGATTATTTAAAGAGCATAAAGTAAAAAATTAAATTAGAAAACTTGTAAAATAAAATTAATTAAACACCTTGCCTGCACCTCGTCCCAATTCGTCACCAGGATACATACGAATACACCTAAAAGTAGTCAAAAATGGGTGGGTCTAAAGAATACTGTACTAAATAGAGTTTAAAGCAGTTATTTTTTAGATTTGGTATTAGGTAACAAAAATGTTTTTTCAGTAAATCCTAAGCCATTGGTAATATATCGTGCAGCAGTAAACAGATAATCACTCAGACGATTCAGGTACTTTACTACACTTTCTTCGACAACAGGATATTCGTGTTGAAGGTTCATGCTGATAATACACCGTTCAGCTCGTCTGCAAACAGCTCTCGCAAGTTGTAGGGAACTTCCGGGAGTTCCACCCGACGGTAATATGAAGACCTTTAAAGGCGGCAAAGCATTTGTCAAATTGTCAATCCATTGCTCTAGTTCAACTGAAACATCCTCTGGAAAAGCCACACGCTTATACCGCTTTGGACGCTCCGAAATATCAGTTTGATTTTCAGGACGAGGAAGAGGTGTGGCTATTGAAGACGACATGCCCAGTAAACGACATTGTATTTTCTCTAATTGTTTTAAAACAGTTAGGACGTCATATCCGGGGAGTTGTCTGGATATATGATCATGAATATGAGCTGACGCCAAGCCTATGCAACATGCAAGTTCATCAACTGTCCCAAGAGCATCGAATACAGGATCATTTTTGGGACGACGTTCACCAGTAAACAAACTACTTGTCCCATTGTCACCTGTCCTAGTATATATTTTCACTGTTCGTTTTGGTACATGAGATATAAAGTTGGCACCCAAGTATACATTACGGCTGTGAAATCGAAAAAGATTAAAAGACCTGAGACTTCTTGCACTACCAGAGATTTGTAGGTGACTACTGCATACAACTTTACAATGAATAATGTCAATGAAATAAAACATACGATATGCAAATCCCTCAGATAAAAATGAACCTTCTACCGACTAATAGTCATTAGTTCCAACTACTACCTAATTATCTTCAAATTTCCTGTACAAGTCGACAAATGTGTATATAATATGACTCTCCATATAATGGGATTTTCAGTATCACTTATAATGAACCATAATTTTACGATCTGTGTTCTCAGAATTGATTTAAACAATATGTACAGAACTGATATCGTTTAATATAGTCCGAATTGTGGTAACAAAAACTTAAAGCTAAAAACGAAGAGAAAACCAGGCACTAATCCGTATCAGGCAATCAAGTTTTTATGGTACAAGAATAATTGAACCATGTGGTCAAGCTAGCTAGATTTTGAACGAAATCTCATATATTACAGGTATTGAATGAATAACTGATTTCATTTCGTAAAGTCAGAAAAATTCTTGAGGTAATTGTTGTTTGCATTGCACTTACCCAATAGACAAAGGTTTCAGGAACGTCATGGGGTCTTTGAGCACCACCTTCAAATTTTGAGGGATGTAGGTTAACAAACGTTGCATGTCTGATATATCTAATATATCTCAAATTGAGTGTATGGGTGAGAGTATTTGTAGGAGTATCTCCTAGGTTCTAATATATCCAAAGTTTGATTTAGTGAGCTTTCTTTAATCTCTTGATCTTATATTCCTGAAGAATAAGTGTTTTGCACCTCTAAAAGTGAAAAGAAAAAACTGATATTCCTTCGATTTGTGTGATTGTATTTGAACATGAAGTGACCAATATAGAATTAGTGTAACGATAATATCATATACTTCTTGTCAAAAATTTCGGACGTACCTGTTGAACTTTTTTTTTACATTATTGAGGGATAGACAAAAGAAATCGGTTAAGTGATTTAAATAAAATTAAGTTATCGGAATCTCAAAAATATCACGTCATAAGAATCAAGTTTCGAGCCAAAGTACGTCAATCGACTTAACTTGTGATTCTACAAAACAGCATGGTATAACACTAACAGGTAAGTCGGTGTTGAAGAGTTCCTGACTAACCAGTATTTTCAATGGTTAAGATCATGAGTCATTTGGAGCTAAACTACCATGGAAAGCCTGGAAGCACTGGACGGCTTGGTGGTCTTTACTTTACTTTAATACATAGATATTGGTACAAGGAGGCACCAAATACATATGCGCCACACAGATCTCATTTGATATGAGTGAGGGCTGTGATACTGCCGGGTGCCCAAACCGAAGCAGAGCTTGGTGGTCTAGTTTCAACTGACTCATGATATTAACCATTGAAATTACTATGATATACACAAAACCCATCTGATTTTAACTAGTATTTGTAAACGTGAGAACTATTAACCAAAACTTATACCAACGATGGCAACAAGGCTCAACAGGAATCACAGAAGTTGATCAAAGTATTGGACTGAGGTGCCGTAAACTGAAGCACCTGGAAAATACATCTACTGGCCCGAATATCATTAATTCTATCGTCCTGAGATAAGTGACCTCATTTCCGATAACATGCCTTTGTGTAATATTTTCGCATCCCTCTGGTAACGCCATGGTTTCAAATAAGTGAAAATTGATACACTTTGATCTAAACTTTAAAATGAAGCCAACACAATGACCCTGCAACCACTTGCCGATCACTTTTCTTAATGCTCTCCACGGTTATGGAGTCTAGTTGATGATGACGTGAGTGATTAATTTGAATCTCAAGGAAATTCTTTTTCGCCCAGTGGTTAACAATTGTTAGCGCTAGTTTTTTTGATTGTGGAGATGAGTGAATCAAATTGAGTAGTTGAACTGTATCACTACCGCTCACATAAAATATGGTTTAAAGCTGAGAGTAAAAGTATGATATGGGAACGAGCTAATCAGAATTGAAATGGCGAATTTTAATTTACTGCTGCAAATTTAAACACCACGTTTTGTAACTCATTCGAAACCTTACGACACCAACATCTGGTTTCGATTATTAAATTATACTAATCTTATGCTTGTGTTATTGCCAATTGTGTTCAATCATTCATCATGAAAGATAAGTATTATCGACGTGCTTATTAAATCATCCTTTTACTCTTCCCTTTTTTCGCCTTCCGATTCTATTATACTCATAATATCCCCCCCACAGTACACAAGTTACCTTCAAGCTGGATATGAACCTACCAAAGGTTAGACGTTGTAGTATGGCGAGATATAGGAAAACCTTTTTATACTGCTCGAAACATTAGAAACGGTAGTGAAAAGTTAATTAATGACACCATAGAGTAAGTGGTAGTAATAAATCTATGATACAGGCGTCTAGTCTCTGAAGCTGTACACAGCAGGCGGATCGATACTATGCCTAAATCTCGACCCCAAACCCTTAATCCTGAAACAAATAACCTAGTAGCACTATATTTAATGAACGAACAAATCAGACGACGCCTTTTGGCATTCCCGCGCGAAACTCACTAATCCCTAAGGTTACAGAGCGATTTTACATTGTAGACGATGTCCGTTTGTGCTGGAAACACTATAACAAGGAAGAATGTGGAAACCTAAAAAATCTACTTAGGTCACTCAAAATATTATAAAAGACGACTAATTCATTCCTTCTAAGTGAGTTCGAATATTTTAACGTTTTACAGAGAGAGCCATTAATACGCTCGTTAATTATGTAAATCAGTTTACACTTTGAAATATTTTTTTTCATCAACTTCCCATTTACGAAAGTCTTGTGATCGATTAAAATATGGCTAGAAATATGCTGCGGTTGTTAAGAGCTGACACCATAATAACCGTAGTTTTCTTTCCAGGAGAAAGGTCTGAGGGTATGGCTATAAATATTTAAAAAGTAGCAATTGGTTTGTGATACCAAATTACGTACCCAAAGCCATTAAGTACACACCTTTCCTGTACAAATACACAGACATCATTGTGTCAGACAGATTACTTCTGTTGTAACTTGAATCTGAACTAGTAATAGCGTGAATACTAGTTCTAATTGCTATTAAAATGTTAACTACGATAATTACTGGAAACAAGTTTAAGTAGTGGAGAGAAGTGAAGTATTGCTTATTGATGCGGATACATGTGTGTATAATAAGTCTATATCACAATTGTTGTTACCGCTGTTTAAGACTTGTTCCAATACTACAATTCACAAAGCAGTGGACATGGTATATATATATATATATATTCTCTGGTGAAATGCGTATAAATTTTCGGTTCAATTAGCTTCCAGCTAACTGCAGCTTTTCAATTAAAAGTATCGATCAAACCAATAAATCAGTCAGTAATCCCATAACAAAGGTCATTTGTATCTTATTATGTTGTTATTGATGCACCTGATTGCATATCTACGCAGTACTATCAACGTGACTAAGAAGTAAGCGCAGGTAAAACCTTAAGTCTCAGAAATCAAAAGCTGTTTGCAAGCTTCATGCCTTTCAGAATGTTTGGGTCTATGTAATACATCCTAGATAGCAAAAAAGGTGCGCTGTGCTCGTCCTGAAAGCTTCAAAGGCTGATGAGCGATAAGCTAACTACTACACTATGTACAGAAAGCTAGTTTGAAAGAAACGATATACATACACAAAAACTACTGATTACCCGCCGAAAATATAATTCGAAAGTGTGTAACCCAGATTGTTTAACTCCACTCGTGCAAGTTCAATATCTTATTCGGTTTCAGCTTATAAAAGACAAGAAGTTAGATAGTCTATGTTAGTTCTAGAAATGGTGGTCCCTCGGTTGATCCAATTTTTTTGAAAGCGTCGGCAGATGGAGATTTAACCACGTGTTCAGATATTGAATCCCATTCGTCGATGATTCGATTTGAAAGTCGATAGTCAGCTTACAAGTAATTTGTCCTGTGCTAGTGAACATTTTTTGGAATTTTCTCGTAAACTTACTCGTCTGGAAGACAAGAAAAATGCGGGCATGTTGGGTGCGAATTTACCACAAAGTAATATAGAAACCGATCAAATAGCTTATGGTTCTTCAATAGGACAATGGTATAGCAGTAAATGAATCCCCAAAATAAATAGCCCTGTAAGTCTTCGACATTGGACGCTGACCACATTAGTTTTAATGGACTCACCTAGCTAACGGCTCTTGGTCATGCATCCGCACCAGATCACGAGTGGGGACACCGTGCTCAACATCCAGAAGATGCCACAGGTACCCTTTGAACAGTAACACCTTCTAATACGAAGCGTACCCATCATGTGAAATCAAAAGGCAGAAGCGAGGAAGCTCGAAGATATATTTGATACGCTATAAATATATCGAGAATCGTCTGATCTAATCTGGCTAGCGATTGCAGTGGCTGTTGAACACGGCGTCACCACACGTGATCTGGTGCGGATGCATGACCGAGCGCCTTAGCTAGGTGAGTCCATTAAAAAATGTGGTCAGCATCCAATGTGGAGGACTTACAGAGCAGTTTATTTTGGGGATTCATTTACCGCTACAGATCAATCCCTCCTAGTGGGGTAGCGATGACCCTAAGACGTGACCAGCTAGAAGTTTAAACCCAACGAGTTTTGTTGCTGGTAAACGCTCTTCTGATAGCTTGCTATGCTTAGCAGCGTCTGGTCGTCTTTCCTTACTAAAAGGAGCCATAAAATACAATATACTGGAAAAAAATAGTATAAAATGAAATTTTCGGTTCATCGTAAACCTCATCGTTCTTTTCATCGTCCTTTCCAGCCATCCTGGAAAAGAAAAAAAAGAATATGTAAGTGCATGTCGAAATAAACTCGTGCGCGCTTTAAGACACAAAATGGACGAAAAAATGTAAATAACGTAAAAGCGAATTTTACAAAATGTTTTCTTGTTTCTTTTTAAGCAATTTTTTGATATACGTATTAGCCAAATAATTAATATATGTATTTATAAACATATTAAATATTGATTTTCTTATATTATATTATACCACGGAAAATCGAGATGAAACAAAATGTTAACGAGTGTCTTACGTGAAATGGTCATTTAAAAGTTCTGGAAATCTTACTCTTCTTCCAGAATGCGTTGTTTTAAGTTTATTTTCAGATACTGTTGATGTATCATCGTGCGTGTTGGTTGTCGAATGAAGGATTATAAGTGTAGGAGTCGTTTCGCTCGATTGTACCGAAGAAAAATCGACGTTGATAAGACTTCCGTCTTAATACGCTGCTTTGAGGCGGTCGATGCTGATGCTATCGTTTATTCCGTTATCATAAATTACATAGTACTTATATTCTCGTTGAAGAACTTTGGAAGGTCCATCGTATGCTGATTCGAAAGGTCGTCGATGCAAGTCTCGACGTACGAAAACGTGTGTACTATATTGTAAGTCAGGTTGAACGAAAACATCTGTTGATCGCAGTCGAGTGGAAATAGGTATATTTGAACGCATTGTGTTTGTAAGCCTGTTCGTGTAGGAGGTTAGATCCATGTTCATTGAAGAAGATGAAGGATTCACGAATTCTTTTGGAAGTCGAAGTGTCGTTCCACAAACGAGTTGAGCCGCAGTGTATCCAATGTCAGCTTTGACTGCATTGCGAATACCTAGTAAGACGAATGGAAGAGCGTCGGTCCACTGTGAAACGTTTTCAGCTAGTATGGAAGCTTATAGTTGTCGGTGAAAACGTTCTAGCATCCTGTGTGCTTGTAGGTGGTAGGCGGTCGTTCGGAAGCGAAAATTCCTAATAGTGTGGTCAGATGAAGGAAAATTTCAGATTCAAACTAACGTCCGCGGTCTGTAGTGATGGTTGAAGGGCAGCCGAAGTTTGCTACCTATCGTTCGACGAAGGCTCAGGTCACCGTTTTAGCAGAGATGTCTTTGATAGGTACTGCTTCTGTCCGTCGAGTGAAACGGTCTACGCAGGTCAAGAGATAAGAGTATCCATTCGAAGCTGATAAATGTCCGAAGGGAGTTATGATAGATTTTTTCGGAATGTCGTCATTGGTCATGGGGATTCGGTTATACGCTTTAACCATGTCTACTTTCGAAAAGGCAGTTGTACCTTTCAAGGTAGCTGTCAAATCATGAATGTGAGGCAACGTGTAACGATCGGTAATGGTTTTTGCATTCAATCGCCGATAGTCAACAGTTGGGCGCCAATCGTCAACAAACTTATTTTAAATGCAGTATTTTTTAAAATTATTTTGTGAACCTCACGAGCTTACTAGAACGCGTAGATTTGTATATATATCCGTAACTACTGAAACTTCGTTGAAGTGACTAGCTGTTATAGAATCATCATTGTTTGGTTTGGCAGCGAAATCATTTGAGTATGGATTAGGTTTTACATTGACAGGATCTAGACAATATTTTTCGGCTGATTCCTTTCTTTCATTTTGGTCGGTAGCACAGTGGTGTGAGTCACGTTCTAAAACCTTGAAGAGTCTTTCACAAAACATATCAAATGGTCGAGGTAATAAATCAAAATGTACAAGGACGCAAATGTCGTGCTACTAAGCTAGTCCGGTAAAGACAAGTATAGTTGGATCCGGCTTAGTTGGACCTCTTATGTCCAAGACAGTTCGGTGACGTTCGTGCTAACCGATAGTTCCCCTGTAAATTATTCCGTTTTAATTTGAATCCCATGTACAGAGTGTTTTATTGTGCTCGGAAAGTTCCCTCTGACTTTAATACTAGTCTATATGTGGGTACTGGAATTAGTAAGGGTCACTAGTTAGCATATAAGTTTGCGTACTTCTGTCCAATTCGATTTCCTGAAAGACAACCCAGGGAATAGTACATTGAACACGTCTTAGATAATTAGCGAATGATTTTTCTGGGTTCCTTACCACAAGAGTTTGGTATTTAATCGGGTTTCACAGGTTTTTACAATTATTTTTCACTTTCTTCTACTCGTTATAGTTCTCTTGTAATGAAGATGTACAGTAACTAGACCATAACGCCGCTGATTCAATCCCGTGTCAACTTTAAGAATTTATATCGCAGGTCTTTATTAATGTCTTTTTATAAGACTATTAGCTTTTGGAATTCATCGATATCAGATCTTATTAATCAGGAACAATAATTTCTTTTCCATTAGACGGAAAAGTTTGCTCCCCATTTCCGAAGAGAGGGTATGGAATGATGCCTAAAACCGGTCTTTGAACAAGTGTCTCAAGAAGATACTTCAATCGCACTTTGTCTTTATGTAGACCACAAGTAATACGAAATGTCTACATATTTCATCCGATTAATAGCTTTGAGACGTTTTATGACTCAAACACTGCAATTATACAGAACCAGTTATTGTGAAGCTGGGTGTCAATTACAGAAGCTTATGAAAGCGCATATTTCAGATAACCGATGGTGTGAGGATTCTTGAAAGAGGTTTTTATTAGCCTGGAGATTTGACTCCAGGTAGACCGTATGAATGATAGCTTTCGAATGTTTAATGTCGAAATATACATATCTCCAATCCTCGTATGTAATCACCGACTAGACTACAGGTTTTTGGTGCGAAAGTTGAAGCTGCGGCGTAAAAATGATTACGTGTCTTGTTAGATGGTAGCTGGTTGTTGACCGTAAATCTTACCGGACTGATTATGTTTTCTGGACCTAATTGTAACTCCTAACCATTGTGTACGTAAAGGATTTCCAAATTAGGACCTTGTCTTTTTACTTTTCCGTGTCTATTACGAGGGGAACAGCTGGAACAGTGCAACAGAATATGGCTCGGAGTATAATGAAAATGTGTCCATATTCAGTCAAAACAACAAAACTCGATGCACATCATCCAGGCGTAAGTAAATAAGCTAGAGATAGTTCATGCAACCTCATAACCATCAAGGAATCAACAAAATATTCAAAGGTTTACAAAATAAGGTAACTTAAATATGAAACTGGTAATTTTGATATCGTATGAATTCACAATATTTAGAACTAGACGATGAGTACTCTAGAGTGCTATATGCATGAAAACAGACAGACATCTTGACATATACAATTTGATATCGACTGAATAAAATCTAACCTAGCAATGGATCTCATCCTCCATGATAATTCGGTCTTATAATTTACTGTTAACTTTCAGTAGCTTTAATTTAGATTCATTAGTCAGGAAAGTGTTTTTCATTCTCTAGCAAGCAAAAGTTATTACGTATACATAGTAGTTTCATTTCGGTCGATAATTTTCTTTAACATGATGTCTCCACTAAAATATGAATAAACCATGATTTGAAGGATCGTATTATAATCAGTAGTGCATTCTTCTCATTTTTATTTCAACTGAAATGGTTACATTGATCTTGTAGTGTGGCGTCGAGTCGTGGTTGACTATGATCACCAATACAGGAAGACTACATGCCAGTTAACCGATAACATCCCCAAATATCAGAAGGCAGTTGATGGCTGTAGTCGAGATGTATTTGTTGGCGATCTCGTGGTACTGAAAGAATACGAAGATCGTGCCAGGTTAGAAGTGTGGTTACTGAGCCTAACCGAATCCGTGCAAGGTCACAAGCAACGGAAGAATGTATGTGTTTTGGTTCAGTTAAACAAACAAGTACAGCAAAACAATCACTGGTACAATTGGTTATAATAATACTTGTTTCCATTTGACTAATCGCGTTCTCTTGATAAAAGTAGGTCACTACAATCTCATCCTATCTTAGATACTTTATCGATTCTCCC